GCCGCCGGCAATGGTCTCGTAGTAGCCGAAACCATTGACATGGTCGCCCTTTTCGTCTTTGCCGCCTGTGCCAAATGTGAGGTTATTGCAGCAGCCTTGACTGGCGGCACATGCGCGGAAAGCGAGGAGAACGACATCAGTGATGCGCTGAGAAGTAAGAACGTTACCACCGACGACACCTGCACCTTTTGCTGGACTCAGTAACGAGTTTTCAGGGATCTTGATATCGACCGGATTCAGGCAGCCTTGATTCAGAGGAATGTCGGAGGATATGAGGGCGCGGAGACAGTAGATGATTGCTGAGTTTGTGATTGCAACTGGTGCGTTGGTGTTACCGTAGACCTGAGGACCCGTGCCCGAAAAGTCGAAGACGGCAGATCCGTCTGTAGGGTTGATGGTGATCTCCAGTGCGATCGGTGTTCCGTCGTCCATGTAATCGACCGCCTTCAGAGGCTTCTTGCCAAACTCTTCGTACTTCTGCTTGAGCAGTTCTCGCACGGCGATATCGCTTGCTCTTTGAATGGCATACATGTAACGATGAACGGTTGCCAAGCCAAACTCGTGGATCAGTCCTTGAATCAATGTAATACCACGCTTGTTGGCAGCGATTTGTGCTTTCAAGTCTGAGATGTTGTCCTGCAGACATCTGGTGCCCGAGCAGCCGTCGTATTGTGCAGGATCCTCAAGAAGTAGCTTTGTGATTGCTTCCTCATTGAACCTGCCTTCCTCAACAATCTTTAGTGACTCAATAGCAGCGCCTTCCATGTACAGCTGAGTACTTGTGGGAGGCATTGAGCCAGGGAGTATACCGCCGATATCAGCATGGTGGCCCCTAGAAGCCACATAGAAAGCGATGTCCTGTCCATCAAAGACAGGAGTAATAACAGTGATATCAGGCAGATGAGTGCCTCCGCAGGAAGGGTGGTTTGATACCAAGACATCGCCATCCTTCAACTTGCCTTTCCATAGATTGTGTTGGTATTTGACTGCGAACTGCATACTTCCAAGATGGACAGGGACGTGAGGTGCGTTAGCCACCAAGCCACCATCGTTGGAAAACAGCGCGCAAGAAAAATCAAGTCTCTCTTTGATGTTGGTAGACACTGACGTCTTCTGGAGCGTTCTGCCCATTTGCTCAGCAATAGACATGAACCGGTGCCCGAAGATGGAAAGCTGGATAGGACTGAACTCATCGTTGACAAGAGCTTTATCGACAGTCGTAGTGGATATCTCCTGATCAATCACCACACAGCTTTCGAGCACTTTTGCGATAGCGTTGGGAAGGACGACTATAGTCTGAGTCTTGTCAATGATCAAGGCTGGACCGGGAATTCTGCTGCCAACAGCGATGGTAGGTAGCTCATAGGTTGGAGTCTCCAGGTATCCTTTGCCCTCATAGTACACACGATTTGAAGCGTTGGGTACGGCTTCGGGTACACTGAGAGAAGCAACTTGTGTCAGCTGTGCGTATGGACTTGCGGCAATCTTCTCATGCGCAGCACCAATCGCTCTAACGCGGAAGTCGTCAACCAGAATGGGCTTTTCTTGGAAGAGGAAGCCAAACTCGCGCTGATGTCTCTCTTCGAATGCCGATCGGAAGTCCCAATCGGCACCCTTGAGCACCATGAGAGAACTGCTTGAGCCGGCATAACGAAGGTTTAGAAACGTCTCGTAAGTGATGTTCTCATCAGCAAATCCTTGCTCCTTCAGCTCAAGGGATGCCTTGAAAGCAAGTTCTTCGAGCTGCTTCTGGATAGTTTGCTCGGTTTCTGAGGAGTAGGTCATAGCCGCTGGCTTCTGAATCTCATGCACAACATCTGCCAGGCTCATTCCGTATGCAGACAAGATTGATGAATACTTGTGAATGATGATCCGTGAGATGCCAAGGACTTTCGCTACAGAGCAGGCATGTTGTCCACCAGCACCACCAAAACAGGCCAAGTGGTGTGCAGCAGTGTCATGGCCTCTGGCTTCTGTCAAGCCTCTGATGGGTCTTGCCATACCCTCGTTGGCAACATTCAAGAAACCTAAAGCGACTTCTTCGGGCGAGAATGTGACTGCACCATCTTGACGCTGTTGTTGGTTGATCTCCTCGGTCAACGTCAAGAATTTCTGTGCCGTGATGTCGCGATCGAGCGGTTGATCCTCTTTGGGGCCAAATATCTTGGGAANATAGTCTGGTAATAGTCTACCCAAGAATAAGTTGGCATCAGTCACGGTCAAAGGTCCTCCCTTTCGATAGCAGGCAGGACCGGGGTGAGCAGAAGCAGACTCAGGACCAACATGGAACAGACCATTCTTCCATGTAAGAATAGAACCTCCTCCTGCTGCGACAGTGTTGATGTCCAATTGAGGTGACTGGATGGAGACTCCTGCAGTTGTGGTCTCAAAGACGTGCTCGTAGACACCCGCGTAACGCGAAACGTCTGTACTTGTACCACCCATGTCGAAGCCTATGATTGGTCGGCGTTCGTCATCGTCCCATGATGTCTGAGCATAGCCAACAACACCGCCAGCCGGACCAGACAGAATGCCCTTGAGACCTCCGAACCTGCGGAAGTCAACAAGTCCACCATCTGATTGCATGAACTCGCAGCGAGTGTTCTGAGCGCCGAGGCCACCTCTGAAGTTCTCTGAGATCGAACTGATGTATTGCTTAATGACTGGTGTGAGGTACGCATCTGCTGTAGCACTCATCCCTCTAGGAACAGCCTTGATCATAGGCTGTAACGCGCTGGAGAGTGACACCGAGAAGCCCATTGAGACAGCCAAGTTGCCAACGAGGTTTTCGTGGGCGGGATATGCGTAAGAGTGGAGGAAGACGATGGAGATAGAGCGATATCCTTGATCCCATAGTTGTTCGAGCGTGTCCAGTATGGCTTCTGGGTCTGGTCGTTGAAGTATACGGATACGTTCGCCAGTGACTGCCTCCTCGATGTCAGGATTTGAACCATCCAGCTTAAGCGTTTCAGGATTTGGATTCTCTGTATAATCTTCCATAGTCACGCGCTCGTCAACCTCGATTACATGCTCGTAAAGGACATCAGGCTTCGCTGCTGATAAATCGAAGATGTTTGGCCGTGATTGATTGCCGATGAGAAGCAGATCCTTGAAACCTTTCGTGATGAGCAAAGCAGATCTGGCACCCTTCCTTTCTAACAATGCATTGGTTGCAACAGTTGTACCCATCTTGATATTTTCGATGTGGAAGAGGTCCAGGAGTTGGCCTCTGGGATGCGGTCGACCTGTAGCCAACTCCAAGATTCGTCTGATACCTTCCGTCGGTGCATCTTGGTAATTCGCGGGATCCACGGAGAGAAGCTTCAGGATAATATCCTCTCGTCCAGGTATCGCGGCGTGGACATCAGTAAACGTACCGCCTCTGTCGATGGAGACGCGAATCTGAAGTGATTTGATGGCCATTGTTGCGTACTGAATTGAGTATGCCAAAAGCTCGGAGGTCCTCGAGATGGACTTATATCACGAACCTAGCTCGGGCGCGAGGCCACCATGTTGGTTCCGCTCACATAATGAGAATTGTTCAAGTGACCAGGTATGATCGGGGACCCTTAACGCGATGGTCGGGTTGAGGGAGTGCGCGCATGACGATAAGGAAGGGAACGATCGGGGACCCACACCGACGCTTTGACCATCTCTCGCGCTCCTTTCCCGACAAGCACCCCCACTGATACTTTGATACCCGTCGCAAGACATGCCCGCCTATCAGTGGTCACAGACTTGCGCAGAGAGTATGCTGACTTGCCCGTAGAGCCGATGTAGGAAGATATATCAGATATCAAACATGTAAATGGCCAGTAGCAAGCTGACTATCCATACGTCGATATGGCCATTGAACAAGTATCTACTGGAGTGGCTGTGCGACTGGCTGCCAGAAAGGGCACTTTGACCGGCGTCACGTCATCCAGCCTCGCTCCTTCCTTCCTCCAAGCGAACCTCATCGTTCTACCTTCGCGTTATGCTGCTGATTTCCGCCTCCTTTGTGCCCGAAATCCTGTCCCATGTCCTCTCCTGGCCGAATCTTCACAAATTGGCTCTCACGATAGCCTGAAGTCTCATCTGGCAGGCTTGACAGGGCAGCAGATCGCATCTGATATTGACATTCGCCATGATGCTCCACGATACATGGTATACCTGGACGGTGTCCTTTCTGCCTCACATGCTGGAAATATCGCTGCTGAATGGACAGAGGACCACGTTGCTTTCTTGATCGGGTGTTCATACAGTTTCGAGACTGCTTTGATCAAAAACGGTCTTCCTCCTCGCCATACTGTCATGCAGAGGAATGTTCCAATGTACCGAACGAACATCCCACTCTGTCCTGCTGGAGTTTTCACAGGAGCAACCTATGTCGTATCGATGCGTCCCTATGAGCGCTCAGAAATTGAACGAGTGAGAGACATCACCCGACCCTTTGTGACGACACATGGCGAGCCAATAGCATGGGGTTGGGACGGTATGAACAGTTTGGGCATCGCAGATATCAGCAAGCCTGATTGGGGTGACGCACCATTGGAGCTGGATGGTCAGCCACTGGATCGAAGCAACGACAATATTGTTCCTGTATTCTGGGGGTGTGGTGTTACTCCTCAGGAAGCTGTGATGAGAGCTGGGCTCAAAGGGACTGTATTGGGACACGCCCCTGGACACATGATTCTGCTCGATGTGAAGGATGAAGATGTATTTGGCATTTGATCGTTGTTATTTACACACGTTTCGTACGATTTAGTGGTCTTTGTCACCTCCACTCTCTCTCTCCCAGTAATGCTTGGTATTCCTCTGACAGAGCGATCGCGTGGAATTGAGTCCCAAGAGGTTGCCTATATTCTTCTGCTGCCTGTACATCACTCACTTGCATTGACCTGATCGATGTTATCAAAAGTGTGACATGATTAACTCTTGATTGATATTCTGTTCTCGTCTGCCAGAATCAAACATGTGGGCGCCAGAAAAACATAATCCAACCATAGATCCTTCGAAGTCTACAAGTGGTACTTGAAGTCCGTGGCAGCATCTCCAGTCTGCACCTTCCTAGTATCTGTCTCACCATTCGCGATTCTCTCCTTGACATTGTTGCAGTGTCTGAGATAGAGCCACTTGCAAGCAATCAAGGTCTGTGCCACTCCAAGAGCTCCTAGCGAAAAGGAGTTGCCGAGCACATATGGACTCTTTCTGTAGATCTGTCCTGCTACAATACCTGCAGTATTGCCGATAGTCTGCTGGAAACCAATCGCAGTGGCTCGACGATATTGTGGTGCGACGTTGACGTTCAGCCAACTCATGTTGAGACCAGGTCCATTGTATACAGCGACAGCGCACAGAAAAGTGCCCAAGAACTTGACACCGTGTGGTGTTGGGCAAATAATCAGGACATATCCGATGATGCCGAATATGTTGGCGAAGGCCACAAGGGGGCCACGAATACTGGTACGGTCCGAGAACCAAGCGACGGCCATGAATGCGAGACCGCCGAAGATGTAGACCGGGATGGTAAGATATTGCGCTTGGAGGGAGTCGTACCCCAACGACTTGATGATAGATGGCAGGAAAGTCGAGAAGCCGTAAAGAAGAATATCTTGACTGACAGTATATTAGTGACTGGACTCGCAGCGAACAGAGTATGACACGTACCAGAATTGAATAAGACCACTGAGGATTACCTTGGGATCGGTGAGAGCAATCTTGACTTCTGCCCAGCTGAAATCCTCAGATCCCATGTATGCTGCGCGTTGTCTTGCTCTGACCTGCATCAATTGCTTATCATCGTCGTTGAGGAAGTATGCATTGTTAGGGTCGTTGGGCAAGAAGAGGAAGACGACGATTGCTACGCCAACCGAGAAGATACCCTTCGGTGTGTTAGCCTTCGTGCTGTGCAGTGCAATGCGATGACTGACCTCGATGATGTAGACCCATTTCCAGCCAGCCAAACCAGACACTCCGTCCATTTGGAGGATTCCGTATGCCAGGAGACCACCAAAAGCGCCAGCGAGAGCCGTGCAGACGAAAAGGTAAGCCACCCTCTTAGCCATTTCTTCTCTCTTGTAGACCATTGTCAGATATAAGTTCAAGCCTGGGAACAGGCCGCCTTCGCAAGCTCCAAGAACAAGGCGAGCTGCGTAGAGACCACCAACACTGGTGATGAAGCCACTGAAGATTGTCGTCAAGCTCCAGACGACACATAAACCACCAATGGTGTATTTAGGTGTGAACCTTTTCAACAGGACAGCCCACGGCGTCTCTGACAAGACATATGTGGCGTAGAAAATTGATACTGCGGTCGAGAACTGTTCTGCGCTTGCACCGATATCTTCGGGCATACCAGCAACTTTGACCTAGGGTTTGTCAGCTAAGATATGGGCATCATCTTTCGGTTGTAGCCTTACATTGCCAATATTGCTGCGGTCGAGGAAGCAGGCGAGGTAGGTCAACATAATGATGGGAACAAGTGCAAAGTCCAACTTGGCAAGAAGCTTCTTCTCCCTGCCAGGATCGATGAACTCTCCAAGCTGTACATCGACAGCATGCTTCTCACCATCCAATGTGTGGTCGTCATATTTCTCAGACATGATGAATAAAGAAGTGGAATAGATTACGGGTTGATGAGTGTTCGAGAGATGGGCTAGACTTATGCAATATGTATGTTGCACTTGCGATTCTGGCGTTCAGCCGATCTTCTGCCTATCTTGTAGATATGCCTTCAACCACGAGGCATATACCCCGCATGAGCGGGCACCTTCTCCAGGAGATAAGCTTCCGTTCCTCTACGAGAACGATGACATTGCCGTTGCGAGCTCTGATCGCTCTCGATGGCCGCCAGGGTATCGGGATGTGACAGCGAGAAGAAAAGCGGAGCGATAGCAGCACCGGCAGGATTGATCGGGGACGGACAGCGACGCGCCAAGCCGCTGGACCACAAGGGGATGCGCTATCGCTGTATTGGGAGGCAGTCCGAGCGTTCACGATATCAACTACTGGACAGCGAAGACCGGAGCGACCTCTGACTCGTGCCTCTACATGGCGCTACTAATTTTCATTATCACATCGCTTTGATGCCGTGAACCATAATAACATGCTCAGCGCCTTGTGATATCTGGGGAAATCTTCTTCTTCCAACGTCCACACAGCTACGAACTCAAGTGTCAGCAGCCGGCTGTCCCCTCGCCGTGCATGACTGTGGGGTAGTCTCATTTCTACCAATTGACATGATCAACTACACCGATGTAGGATAGGAAAAATGGCTGCGAATATAACCAGCATCTCTCCGTCGTCTGACTGCAACTTGAGCCGTCCAGTGGCATGCAACAGATGTAGAGGCCGTCGCACGTACTGCTCCAAGGAGCAGCCTATCTGCTCAAGTTGCACTAAAGGCAATCACGAGTGTATATACGATTTCGATCCCAAACTCGTGGTATCACAGAGGTGATCTTCGCTCAACCAGGGCAGCTGCTAGATTGGTTGCTGATCTCTACCCAGTTATCTGCGAAACCTCCAAGCCAAGCTGAAGTCATACGAGGGTATTGAACACCATGCAGCACCCATCTTACTACCTTGGTACTGATACGGACTCAAAGCAAACTCCTCAGCGGCAACGCATCAGCCTTCGCTTGTCAGTGGGACCAACGACCCAGAGCTCGACGTAAACCCTCTCATGGACAACTTCGCCAATCTCGTCATCAGCCCCTCTGGTAAACACCACTACCTTGGAAGCTCCTCGTCAACGATTCTTGGTAGGAGATTTCAAGATATCGTAGGCATCACGAACCCTGGTTACGATCTAAACCGAGAGTATTCGACGTATAACCATTCTGCCCTGCGGTTGCGCCGCCTTTCGATTGTCGACAACGTGATGCTACCTCCTGCTGCTTTTGCAAAACGTCTGTACGTTGCTCAGCATTCTTATATCGGAACAATCTTCGCATTCTGCACCCCTGAGGTTTTTGAGGAACAATTGCAACAAGCATACAAAGGACCTCCAGATGTTGGTGATAGAGAAGCCTGCCTCGCTTATTGCCAAACACTCCTGGTACTGGCTTTTGGTCAGTTGTACTCCGTCAATCAGTGGTCTGGTTTCGATGGGCCCCCAGGCTTTGACTTTTTCACGCAAGCTTTGCAATATCTACCCGACATTCACGAAGAAGGATCCGTCCTATTCGTAGGTGTCTTGGCCTTGATCGGTTACTTCATGCAGAATCTCAATCGTCGCGATGCTGCCTTCTTGTACGTAGGCACTGCGTTGAGGATGGCCATATCTCTTGCTTTACACCAAGAAGTACCAGATCCTCGTCTCGACGAAGCGAGCAAAGAACAGCGCCGTCGAATCTGGTGGAGCGTCTATTCACTCGACAGAATACTTTGCGTGAAATCTGGTAACCCTTTGACTATCGATGATCAAGACATTGCTGTCAAGCTTCCGAAAAGAATGGGCAACGAGCCCGAGTACTGCCCTGCAGTTTGCTTGCGACATTATACACAACTGTCTCGAATACTTGGACGGATCATGAAGACCATCTACAGAAAAACACCCAAAAGCGGCTCGACGCTTATCGCGTCCGTCTCGGAGATCATGACCGATCTATCTACATGGCACCGAGACTTGCCCAACGAGCTCCGCTTCGACCCTGCGAAGCTGAGTGTATCCCGAGAGTCTGTCTCGACACTCTTGCATTATCATCAATGCATCAACCTCACTGCTCGACCTCTTCTCTTTCATGTGGTAGAGAAGCGCCTACATGGAAACGCTGGTGACCTTGGCAAAGATTGGAAAGTCGGCTTATCTCCAACGACCATCGCTGTCATCTGTCTTNNTTGTGTCTCGGCTGCGAAAGACTCCGTTACCATGATGACACATGCTCAGAAAATGGATCTCGTCGCGACTTATGGCTACATGGATGGTGAACATGCCTTCTCCGCGGCTATCGTTCTCGTCATGGTTTGTGTTGCCTTCCCTGCCAGTAGATCAGAGATTCTTGCCATGGATCAATCACTCGAGCTTCTCCGGAGCATGGCTGATAGAGGCAACACGCATATCGCCGCGAGACATCAATTGCTATCTCACCTGCGCTCCTTGATCTCGCTTTCAGCTGCTAACGTGACGTCGACGCCTCCTACTGCCCCAGTGCCCCAGCAAAACACGACATTTGTGGACGTCGACCAAATGCTCTCATATGATGCTGGAGATGTTGACTTTGGGCTCTGGGAGGAGGGCTACACGAATCCCGATCTTGACATAGACTTTGGAGACTTGACACAATGGACGCAGGCGGCACAGAATACTTACGGTGTGGCACCGTTGTGAGAACGACCGTGTTGAGGACGACAAGAGATTTCCTCAAAAGTCAGAAGTTAAGGAAGGAGTTCACGTAATCTTCATTTAATGTTGAGCAAAACAATGGACTTGTGGAGTTTTTCCTTACCCTCTTTCTTCCAACAGAGCCACCAAGCAAGAATGATAAGATGTACAGAAGTATTCAGTTTATATCGTCAGGGTATCCCAGGTAACAAGTGTGCACAGGCTTTTGAATGTTCCCAATACAGCACCGCCGATATTGATTAGTATTGCATCAACACAAAGAACTTATGATCCTAGCGATCGGAGTGCTATCCAATCCGCTAGTCTGGATACCCTCGTAAGATGTGGTGTGTCCACCACGTTGTATACCTCGGAGCAATTTCCAACCGTGCCTAAGCCCAAAACAGACGAAACAGCGAATTTGAAGGATGCACCCCTCGCGTTCGCGAACCACGCAAAAACCATCGGCTCATCCTTCAACCGATGCGATCTCTTTATATTTACACGCATCTTGCTAAGCTTCTTTGACAAGCTTTTACTCAACACTTGTCACCCTCAAGCATTGGAAAACATGGTCAAGCTTACCACCATCACAAGCGCGAATGCTGCATTCACCAAACAGCAACACCTCACAGCCGTATTCGTAGGAGCAACAAACGGCATCGGCGAATTCACTGTTCGCGAACTATGCAAGACGCATGGAAACTCTGGCTCAGGACTACGAATCATTCTCGTTGGCCGCAATGCAACAGCCGCTCGCAAAATAATCGACGATTGCAAGGCACTGTGTACAACTGCAGAATTTCACTTTGTCCAGGCTGGTGATATCAGCTTGCTTAGCAGTGTAGACACAGCCTGCGATGAGATCAAGAAGATCCTGGAAACGACGAATTCCAAAGGAATAGATGTACTAACCATGACCCAGGGAAAAGTAGAATTCGGAGGACGGATTGGTAAGTTTTTCGCCCTCTTTCGCCCTCTTTCGCCCTCTTATTTCTCTAGAAGTAGACATACTAACCAACCATCTGCAAAAAAAAACNNAGACACAAAAGAAGGCCTAGACAAATCAATGTCTCTACTCTACTACTCACGCATCCGCTTCACCACAAACCTCCTCTCACACCTCCTCACCTCCACCCTCCCCACCGGCGCCAAAATAATCTCTGTATATGCAGCAGGTATGGAAAATCAAGGCCACCTACACACCTCCGATCTCTCGCTCTGCCAACAAAAAAACTATTCATTCGCAAACTGCCGCACCCATTGCGTCTACATGAAAACCCTCTTTTTCGAACACTTGGCCGCCAAACATGCTGAAAAGTTATCGTTTTCGCACATCTTTCCAGGTTTGGTCGTGCATAAAGGCTTCGATGATCCAAATTTTCCTTGGTGGTTCAAGATTGCTTGGACAGCAGCAAAGCCAGTGGTAAAATTCTTACCCATGTATCTTTCTGCAGAGGAGATTGGACAGAGGGTACTGTATCTCTGCACAGACAGGTTTCCCGCAAAAGGGACCTCACTCGAAAGCGCAGAAATAGCGACGGCGACGAATGGAGTCGTAGGTGGAGGTGCTTATTCGCTGAGCTATACAAACGAAACCAACGACATTAGCAAGTTTTATCAAAAGTTGCGGGAGGGAAAGTTTCAGGAAAGGGTTTTGCAGCACACGGAAGCGGTGTTTGAGGCTGTGGAGAAAAAAAGGCGTGTTTGTGGCTACCACAGACGACAAGTTTTGAGTAAAAAGATTCAGTCCAAGAATCGAAGGAGAGAGAGGAACAACACAAATCCAATGAGCCCATGTTTTCCATCAAAACGACAAAAGTTCTCCAAATTTTTTGCCACTCAAGACTTCTCTTGAAGAAAAGATTAAGAAAAGAACAGAGCCTACAGAGCTTTCGAAAATTGAGTAAAGGAACAACAAACACAAAAGACTGTAAATCGTACCAAATGCTGCCCATGGAAAACACTGGTATCAAGGGGGCGATGACATTGGAGTATATCATACACCCATATCTTTAAATGATCTGCACAAAACCATCATCTCACTACAGACTGGTTTCTGTGGAAGCCGAGGCAGAGCCATGCAAGAAAAATAGTATCCCAATCGAAAAACAATGTCTAGACCAAAGATGCAAAGAAAGAGAATCCGTTTCGCGTAACCAATGCGGAGCATGACCTCTAAGCAATCTCCGTACTTGGAAAAGCCTCTAGGACATACCAAACAATCTCTTTCTTGCTTCTCTCGATGTTTGGAAAACTCTCAAAAAGTCTCGAGATGTGGATATATGTTTCTTGGATGTTTGCAAAAACAAGGCAAACCAAAGTTTTGCTCAACAACATTTATCGCAAAAAACCCCCCCACTCACGAGACCACACCCTGACTTTTAAATTCCTGGACCTGCTTCTCGGTATACCCCAACTCCAACAAGACCTCACTCGTATGCTGTCCCAAAGTCGGCGGTGCAGACCGGATGCTCGGTGTACTTTCCGAAAACTTGACTGGCGTGTTGACGAGTTTGATGGGTCCGCAGGTAGGGTGCTCGACAGTTTTGACCATGTCTCTTGCCAATACTGATTGATATTGTTTGTCAGCAAAACACAGGAAAAACGGAGCTGTGGGATATTGGTGGAAGAAGTACTTACCATGTTCGTGCTTCATGGTGCCTGCAATGTCATTGACAGCTGCATATGGCATCCCACTGCCCTCAAAGACGTCCAACCACTGCTGCGTACTCTTTGTTTTGGTGACTGTGGTGATGAGCTCTTCCAGCAAATCTCTGTTTTGGACTCGATCTGCATTGGTAACAAATTTGGGGTCGCCTTTCCACTCGCTCTTTTGCAGGCGATCACACAGCACACCGAATAGTCGATCGTTGCCGCCACCCAACATGATACTGCCGTCTTGAGTCTCAAAGCCTTTGTAGGGAACAATGGAAGGGTGAGCCGTGCCCCAGCGTCCAGAGTCTGGTTTTCCGCTGATGAGGTGTGAAGAGGCGAGGTTGGAGAGGGTGGCGACTTGGCAGTCTGATAGCGAGACGTCGATCCATTGGCCTTTACCGGTGATGCCTCGTTGGATCAGGGAAGCGAGGATAGAGTTGGATGTGTAGAGGCCTGTGGTAAGATCCGTGACTGCAACGCCCACTTTTGCAGGAGGGGCGTCACGGTGGCCGGTTATGTGCATGAGGCCCATCTCNNTCTGTTTCACGTTAGATATTAGCATCCGCACTTCTGAACCCAGGACGATCGAAAAGGAAAAATGAACAGAGGGGAAGACCAAAGGCAACACTCACGCTTCAACCATAACATCATAACCCGCCCTGTTCGCATACGGACCCGTCTGCCCATATCCCGTAATACTTGCATAGATCAACTTTGGATTGACTTTACTCAATGTCTCATAATCCATCTTGTACTTCTTCAACGCACCCGGCAGATAATTCTCTACAAGAACATCGCACTCTGCAGCGAGTTTGTGGAGAATTTCGACACCAGNAGGAGATTGAAAGGACAATCCTAGAGATTNTTTGTTGCGGTTGACGGAGAGGAAGTAGGCTGATTCTCCAGGAGATGATCTCTGGGTTGGCGTGGAGTTGGGTGAGATGTGGGCTGCATAAGGTGGGCCCCAGGCTCGTGTGTCGTCGCCGCGGGTTGGGTGTTCGATTTTGATTACTTCGGCGCCTAGGTCGCCGAGGATTTGTGTGCAGTATGGCTGTTTTGGGAGAGGGTCAGTTGTGGACTTTGTCTGTGCGTCTACTTGGATTGCGGTAGTGGATGAGTGTGGTGCTTTTGGCCATGTGTCCACCTTTCTTTCTTCCTGCTTTTTGATTGCCCTCGATAACTCCAGTTTCGTTGTTGTGGGCTTTGGTACATGAAGACGTCTGCTTCCCATAGAGATGGCGAGAACGTGATTATCTCCTTCTTCATACTCCATGCACAGTCATACCCAACATCTCATCATGCTCTTCTCTCTCGTCGATTCCATTTCTTCCCTGTCCATCTCTCTTGCTCTACACCCATCCCAACCCCGAGATCTCGAGCTTTCCCCTCTTTTGTACAAAACTCCAAGAAGCACATATGTTTCTTTTCTCCCACCTTTCAACTGGGCAGAATGGATGTGACGAAGAAAGAAAGAGAGAGAGAGAAACAGAAAAGAAAAAGAAGATAAAACTCACCCCGGCAAGCACTCTAGTCATATCCAACACTTTGACCCCCTTCAACGGCAAAACCTCTTTTGCTGGAGTGGCCGTAGTAGTAGCCATATTCCTGTATAATCGTCCACGTATCTCCGGTCGTGCGATACACCGTGTGAGCATCACTGCCGGTCTTCCAAGCAGTTTGAACACCATTGTCGTTGACCAGCTTAGAAGAAGAGGAGAGAAAAAAAAAAGAAAAAGAAACAAAGATACACAGAATGCAGACAAGGGACAAGAGAGATCAAAAGAAGGAAAGAAACGATGTTTATTCTATCGTGGTCGGCAAAAAGGACATGAAGTGATGTTTGGTCTGCGGGTTGCGGGCACGAGATAATGTGGGGATACTCGGGGCCGAGTTTCCGAATGGGAGAAAGCTCGCGGGACCGAGGCCCGATGGTCAAGTTTGGGCAAGGAACGACCGACAAGAAACGACGAGCGAAAAAAAAGCACTTGCTGGTTAATTTATCAGATCTCAAGAAGAAAACGACTTGTTCAAGATTTTGTAGAGAAAATAGTTGGTCATTCCATCGACGTCGATATGTAGATTCTCACTCCTTCACCCTCCAGAAGCCCCTTTTTCCCGGAACACCATTTCCCAATGCAGCATTGAAATATGAAACGAAAAACCCCCATATGCTCGAGACTTTTGGTCATCCTCTTCCTCAAACCGAGCATCCAGCGATATAAAAACAACGATGGTGGTATATTGTCACTGCGATTAGCACATGACGTAGGTGCACTTGCCCTTGGCCTCGCGACCCTGCTCGTTGGCCTCGAGAGCGTACTCAATCTCGACGTCCAGATCTCTTCGGTTTCTCTCGTTGGGCTTGCAGAGAAGGGTGCCGTTGAGCTTCTCGCCGGCTTCGACGGTAAGATTGTCATTGAGATAGAAGACGGTCTGCTTCCAGTGCGTGTATTTTGTGTGGGGGCCGGTCGAGAACTTGACGGGCTTGTGGCAGGCCGAAAACTCAATGTCAAACCAGGCGATCAGGGCGTGCACATAGTCGGTACGGCGAACGGGGAGCGAGTAGGGGAGGTGGAATGCGAGATCGGCGACTTTGCAGGTGTACAGGTCGAGGGTGATAAGAGGTGCAGGGTCGGTGACGACGGCCTTGAGGTCAACAGTGTCGACGAGGGGCTCGGTGAGGGCGGTGCGCTTGAGGGGAGAGTAGTTGAAGCCCCAGACGTTGTCCCAGACNNTGTGCATTGAGGTTAGCAAGAGTGTGTGGGCTAGATAAAAGAGACGCGACTGACAGTTGATCTTCTCCTCCTTGTAGTCGCCGTCCTCGATACCGGCAACAAAGATGGTGGCCTTGTCGGGGAAAATGAGACCACCCTTCTTGAGGTAGCGGTCACGGGCCCACAGGACAGTGTCCAGCATGGACTCGTAGAGCANAAAGTAGCCCATCCACTCGGAAATAATGATGTCGACCTCGGGGAAGGGAAGAACAACCTCCTCCATCTTGCCCTGGAGAAGGGTGATCTTGTCGCTCAAGCCGTTGACCTCGACAATCTCCTTTGCCTTGTCGATGATGGTCGACATGTCGACACCAATGACGTGCTTGGCGCCAGCCTTTGCTGCGAACCTGTGGGACATGTCTCAGCATGGTGTTGTGGAAGGTCAGATTGGGAATGCGTACATGGACAGAATGCTGGTTCCGCATCCAACGTCGAGGACGACCTTGTCCTTGAACAGGTGACGGTTCTGGTAGATGGCATCGCGGTAGCTGCGGGTGCGCACGTCGTCCTTGAGCATCTCCTCGTGGATTCCATGGTGGTTGTAGCTAGTGAGTGTGTCAGTCTTGTGCTTGTCTAGATGGCGGAACGAGGTGAATTACGAGTTGAAGTAGTGCTGCTCAGAGTGAGCAAGACCGGCGAGACGGTCGCCTTGTTGCGGTGCGGCTGCGTTGTTGGCCATGATTGCTGTGTCGGACGAGGTTTAATTGGGCGAATGCGACGAGACGAGTAAAAACGAATGCGACAAAAGATACAAAAGTGGAAGGAGGATTTTTCTGAGGAAGGAGATGATGCTTTTTCTCCAAAGCAGAAAGCTTCGACTGGACTATAATCGTCCGAGCGCCTTGTCGGACTTTGTCCTTGGGAACGCCGCGACCAGCAGTCCCTGCAAGACCCTGTTTGAACCGACCAAGTCTGGACTGCCTTGGCAGTAGTTGGTACAAGGATAATGATAAATATAATATACAGCAAAGAATGGTATGAGTTCCAAGCCAGCATTAGCCAACAACTTCATCTGCACCTGCCATGGTCGCGTCGTCCATACTGCCATTCCGTCCGGCCGGTACGAAATGGCTGTAGACTTCTTCATTGTCATCTACCAACCAATTCAGATCATTCTTCTCAGGAGGAAGCAACGCTGCCAGTCCCTGACCAGGCTTTGGGTAATTCGCTGTGGGATTCTCGAGCTCGTTATACCCTTCATCCACATCGTCATCTGGCCGTACAGGCAGAGGATAGTAGGCATGCTCAGATCCATCAGACGGAGGCTCGGGTGGATTTGGAGGTAGAGGTTCCACTTGAGCTTTAGGAGGGTCAAGCAGATCCGAAAGTGTCGTAGGTAAAGGTATCTGGAAAGCTCCTGGTGGGAACAAGGCCAGTTCTGGGTGCGCTTGCTCTGCCCGTAGCAGCAAATCAACCAGCGCATTGGTCGGGAGTAACATCAGAACGTCTCGTTTCTGCGACTGTCAGCTTCCTGCCCTTGATTATCTCAACACGATACACACCTGATGATCCATCAAGTCTCCTCCAGGTACAAACGAATCCACATCAACATCAGGCGGCGGTCGCACGGTACAATCCGAGCAGAACCATTCCATGTCGGGTACGTCCACAACCTCCTGACTGATAGGCGGGTAATGGCAGTAGCGGTGATAGGGAGTGTTGCAGCCATCACAAAATACTATCATGTTGGTGGCTGGACTGTGAGGTCGGAGACATTGTTTACACACTGCCAATTCCGGATTCCTGCGTCCCCAATTGCGCTTGCGTTTGGTACCAGAGGTGGGTGAGGGTATGACAGGTACGAAGGTGGTGGGTTTCGTGATTGCGCGACCGGAGCGTGAGGTTGTGGCCAGCGGGGTACCCTCAGCATCATCCAGCAGGTCATCATCGCTGTCGGAGCTGACTTCGTGAATCTTGATGCCCTCAGCAAGAGGCTTCCTGCCGCCTCTGCCACCTCTTCCTCTTGGACGACCTCCCCGTCCCCGACCACGACCTCGACCTGTGGAAGGTGGTGTTTCTGCAGCTGCAGACGTTGGTGATCCGGCGGTTCCTGCCAATGTACCTCGTCCTCTGCCTCTTCCTCGACTGCCTCGTGGACGGCCTCCACGATTCCTCCCCCGTCCTCCTCGCACGGCTGGTGTTGTGGCATCCATTGAAGTATTCCTGTCTTCCTCTTTTACTCTTGCGCCAGTATCGATGGTATTCTCAGCACCTAGCGAGGTCGAAGTGGTCATATTCTTGAGAACGGCATTCCTGGCGGCTTCCCACTCTTGGGTACCAAAGACAGAAGACAAGTTCGTTGGAGGCAATCGCTCCAGGATGTGTTCAGTAGCTGGAGAAAAGGACTTTATGGTGGAATGGATAGTGGTATAGTCTATCGGAGCATTGATTGAGGGAGTCGTAGCTGCCGGCGCATGGGCTGATGGAGGGTTTAGAGACGATGGCTGAGTCGAGTTGGCAGAAGGTGGCGCATTCGAGTGGGCAGCACCGGAGGGAGGAGCGACGACTGGTTGATCGTCATTGTGGGCAGTCGACATATCGACGTCTGATGGAGGCAGTCGCGACAAGCAATCGCACCTTCCGCATACTGGTGATGAAGTGTGGCTGAAGGCTGTGGCTGAAGAAAGCGGCGTCTACGTCAGCGGTCGCGCGTGGACATCAACAAATGTCGAGCGTTTCTGATTCCCTCGCACGACAACAACCATGCCTGGACCAGAACGACCGTCAATCGCCGTCACGGCTGCCAACAAGACCGAGCGCCACGACTTTGCAGAGTCGACTACTCCTCCACCACAGTCCTCGCCTTCTCCCAGTCCTCCTCCTCCTCATCAACAACCGCGGGCCGTCTCTCCCAAACTCTCGACGTCGTCGTCCACAAAGACAGCAGAGCCAGCGCGTCCAAGATGGATCCTCCACTTGCAGGCCCAGATGTGGCGCTTCCTCATGGGCATTGGCATGCTGCTCCACCGCATGGCACCTCCCCACCCTCCTAAACCTTCTTTCAAGCGATCCATCAAGGCCACCGTCAGTTCCAAGCCCGGCGACTTCGACCTGCACTTCTACGTGCCCAAGGATTACGAGCAACACCGCCGCACAAACTTTGCAAAGAGAAAGTACCCCTGCGTCATCAACTTCCACGGCGGAGGCTTCACATTGGGCAGCCCTAGTGACGATGCCCGCTGGTGTGGAACCGTCGTCGACGAATGTGCTGCCGTCGTCGTGAGCGTCGACTACCGCCTGGCTCCCGAGAACCCCTTCCCTACCGCCGTCGAGGATGGTGTCGACGCTGTGCTCTACATGGCCAACAACGCTGACGAACTCGGCATTGACGAAAACAAGATCGCCCTCTCTGGCTTCAGCTCCGGTGCCAACATGGCCTTTACCGTACCCCTCCGCCTTTACGACCACCAGAGCGAGTTTGGCAGAATCGAGACTCATGGCGCGAGTTCATCCCTGCTCAGTCTGCCCAGGACTCAAGATCCCAGCTCGTCCAGTCTGAGTGTCGACCGCATCATCCGCAGCCGCAGTCACACGGTAGCTCCCACCTTGGCCTCGCTACAGAAGCAGCAAATGTCCGTCAAGCAAGTCGAGTCTGTCCAGTCTGTTTCCCTTTGCGCCATCGTCCCCTGGTATCCGTCCTGCGACTACACCCAAACCCGCGAAGAGCGCAGAAACACTTCGGTCCGCACCGATCAGGATCTCCCCGCCATCTTTACCAATCTGTTTGACGAGTCGTACCTTCACCCGCCGGACACAATCCCTCTCGACTCGCCCTACCTCTCGCCCGGCATTGCACCCACAGCCTTCCTCGCCGAAGCCCTGCCTCAGGACATCATTATGCATACCTGTCAATGGGACATGCTCTTGGCCGAGGGCGAAAAGTTCCGTGACCGGCTGACCGGCAAGGGCATCAACAAGACCGTCCACTACAAGATGATTGAAGGCGTGCCTCATGGCTGGGACAAGGCACCCAACCCCCTCAAACCTACTCCTGGCGTCAAGGAGCACTATCTCAATGCCACCAACCATCTACGACGAATTTTTGCCAAACAAGGCGGCGATGCTAACGAAGATGCAACCATTGGTGGTGTAGCCGGTGAAGGCAGAAGAATGAGCACGCTGGTCAATTAGATATTTCTGCTTTTTTTTTGTCGTCGTTTATAGCATGCAAATCTAGCCTTTTCTTCCCTTTTCACTTTTGATCTTTTCTCATACCTCACTCTTGGAGAAGTTGCTGGATGTCTCGCTGACCTTTGCATCAGACCGTGTCCTTGGAATCACCATTGTGCTACTCTGCAACCCCCTGCTCGAAGGAATGCCCAGCAGAAGGATTCCGCCAAGTTCCTGCGGCTTTCACTAGCGCGATCCACGTATCGTCTGTTATCCACTATATCTCGGGTGAACACGCCTGTAGAAGCAGTCATCTTGTCAAAACTCGCACACATCTTATCAATCAATCGGATCACGCTAGGAGAGGAATCCTTTCGACGACTGTTGGGGTTCTTGGGCTCTTTGGCGCCAAGTACTGGAGTGTTGTTACATTGGCTCAGGAGGGGGACGTGTGGGCATCTTGTACGGATGGAGTTGGTGTGTGGTTGGTGCTCTGCGTTGGTGCTCTGGGATATCTGCACATATGGTTGCCCTTTGTGAGCTGCTGGTTCGTGGAATGGGGCCTCTGGTATCGATTTTTGTGCGAGTGGTTCCGATTGTACCCTGGCACTAAGCGTTCACTCTTGGGCTTGGGACCGCTGTAGTGGATAGACTATCAGGATCCACAATACTGGTCAGAGGCTTGTCGACATATATGAAGGATCCCAGATCTGCTGTTTCCTTACTCGTCCCTGATTATCTTATCTTCTCTTTTGTCAGTTTTTGGATCAAGTCTGCACAGATGGCCATTGCAACCAAGCTGCGTAACTTTGTCATGGGTGATCCAGACGAGAGTGATGTAGATTCGGATACTCCTGCTATTGCAGCAACGCAAACACCCAAGAGCGAAAATGTCAACAATCCATACACTCCAAGCACCACCAGCGAAAGAGGCGCCGAAATCGACAAAGCCCAACGTGGAGTTCAAAACATCCAAGCGACAACTCTCACCTGGACGAAAACTTCTCTAGCAACACTTTTAATCCTGTAACCACTCTCCCTCAACAACTCCCGCTTCCCATCATCTCACTAACAAGAAAGCACAACAGGNATTTGGATCTTGTCTCTAGTCAACGGTTTACGCGGCTCAATCTTGTATGCTTTGGTGCCATATGTGACTAGCGATTTCCAATCGCACTCGCTGTTGACGGTCATTGAGATTGTTGCTGGGGCCATGACATCTGCGGTTTACATCCCCATGGCCAAGCTGTTGGATGTTTGGGGTCGAGCTGAGGGATTCGCGTTGATGGTGGCATTTACCACTCTGGGCATGGTGTTGATGGCTGTCTCGCAGAACCTGCCTACTTTTTGTGCTGCACAAGTAAGTCTTTTTGCAACTGACAGTCTGTTCTGGTGTGCGCGTGCTAACATAATGGTGGTTTGGGTGTTTTACTCGGTGGGCACCAATGGATTGATATATACGTACTGTGTGCTCGCGGCCGATGTTACTGATCTCAGGAATCGTGGTTTGGCGTTTGCGTTCACCTCGTCGCCATATATGATTACAGCGTTTGCTGGGTCAAAGGCCGCCGAGGGGTTCTTGTTGAACGTCAATTGGCGATGGGGCTTTGGCGCGTTCGCCATCATCTTTCCTTGTGTCACTGCTCCTTTGTTTGCAGTGTTGAAAATTAACGAGCACAAGGCTAAAAAACAGGGTCTTTTGGATCGAGAGGACAGTGGTCCATTTACCATCGGCAGAGTTTGGCAAGGTATTCTTGACTTTGANCTGTGAGTTTAACAATTGTTTGGTATTGTAGAGAGATGCTGACAAGTCATGATAGTGCTGGGTGTTGCTCTGTTCGCTGGCGGTCTGACGGTATTCCTGCTGCCGTTCAATCTGGCTACCTCGGCTCCGAAGGGATGGTCGACCGACTACATCATTGCCATGATTGTCACTGGCGTTGTCGTGTTGGTGCTGTTCGCTCTGCATGAGGTCTACCTTGCTCCCGCGCCTTTCTTGAAGCAGCAATATCTGATGAACCAAACCGTCATCTTCACCTGCCTGCTGGATGCCACCTACCAGATGTCATACTACTGCTGGAACTCCTACTTTACGTCGTTTCTCCAGGTCGTCAGTAACCTGAAAGTGGCCGAGGCTGGATACGTCAACAGCACATTCTCGGTTGTGTCAGGGTTCCTTTTGTTCTGCGTGGGTTACCTGATCCGCAGAACTGGTCACTTCAAATGGCTCTTGGTCATCGCAGTGCCCCTTTACATCTTTGCTTTGGGTCTCATGATCCACTTCCGTCAGCCCAACCAGTACATTGGTTATATCGTCTTGTGCGAAATCTTCATCTCGATTGGAGGTGCCATCATTACACTCATCGTGCAGCTGGCAGTTCTCGCATCTGTCGATCATCAACACGTCGCTGCCGTCTTGTCGTTACTATATATCAGCGGCGGTGTCGGTGGAGCCATCGGCAACACAATCTCTGGCACCATCTGGACAAACACGTTCGAGAATGGACTTGTGCGCTATCTTCCCGAGTCAGCGCAAGCCAACCTCACGACTATTTATGCGAGTCTGCCTGTTCAGTTGTCGTATCCGGTCAACAGTGCTGAACGCATCGGCATTCAAAAAGCGTATGGATATGCGCAAACTAGGATGTTGTCCGCTGGTGTTGGGTTGATGGGCTTGTCGCTGATCTGGATCTGTTTCATCAAGAACTTGAATGTGAACAAGATGAAGCAGACCAAGGGTGTGGTCTTCTAGGCAGTGGTATCGTGGATCCAAGAGTTGAAACTGGTGGTGTTGGCCGAGAAGAAGATGACGAAAAGTGTATGTTAACTGTCTCAAAGGGATCTTGTCGTTTCTGCTGCGGTTCTGTGCCGTCTGTGTCGACGAGATGTGCAAGGTGGCGCGTCGCTTCCTGCTATGGGTGGCGAGCTTTGAAAAGCTGCGTGCGTTACCCATTACATTTGTTCCCGATCTAATGACATGGGTGGTACTTATATCATACAGCAATCTCACTATGAATGGTGATTGAGAAGTGATTGTGAGTAAATCTTGAGGTCTCCTCGATTGTCTCGTCGTGTTCCTGCCAAGCCAAGATCCGGCATTCCTTCCTAAGTTTCTAACATGTTTGACCTTTCCTTCCACGGTCAATAGCATTGGTTTGTGTCAATTCCGTAAGTTTACTCGTGATCAGGACAGACAGCGAGCGAATCCCCCATCTGCAAGTCAAGAGGCTAGATGAAGCGGCAGAACAGCCATCTCCTCAGCTCTCTGAAAATATCCCTCGGTCATCTGCAGTTTGCACAACCTCGGCCATGTGTAAACAGTTTCAGGCTACACCGACATCAACAGTCTACCATCAACCCGACATCAAGCTTCTCCTTTCGACGGGTCCTTTGAGCCTCCCGCCCGGTATACCGCTCGAGTTCATGCTTTACAGCCTGTACGGGCTTGGCTTTGCTGGGCAAAGATATACCCACGACTTTACCCTCCTTGGCAACGCATACCACTTCATCTCAATTGGCGCCACCAAGTCCAAGTCCTCGAATCAACTCTGCATCAAGGTTGACTAGTGAGGGGCAAGTAAATTACCCCAGAGGGGAAATGTATATCCCCACAGTATGCACTTCTGCGGAGGCGATCAGTTGAGGAAGGCCTGGCCTTTGCTTCGTGTATAGCCGATTCGGACTACTGCAATAGAACTCCTCCAAAGTGCGAAGTCGCTTCTGGTATGCACCTTGATTGCGGCTGGTGGACGGTTAATCTAGATTGGAGAGGAGGTAGATTCAGAGGTTAGTGTATAGTGCTCGAGATTTATCCCAGGACGAGTATAAAAGGACCTTCTGCCCTTCGTATATTGCAAGATCCTCATCGACAGATCATCTCAGTACATCGACCAACCACCTGGGACTCCGACCAGATCTTGGACAACATGCACCTCCCTAGCATCGCCGCGACTCTGGCCCTGGTTGGCCTCAGTGCTGCTACTCCTACTGAGTAAATTTTTCTTGATAAACACTCAATGTTCATCACAATTCTANNATATAAACACTACAGTTACAGTGCCTCCTCTTCCTCTTCCAAGAATCAAGGTCTCGCTCAAGCATGGACCTCCAAGGGCCGCCAATACATCGGAACATCCCTAACCATCCGCGATGACCCTGTCGAACAGGGCATTATTCAATCACGTACCGACTTCAACTCCATCACTCCCGAGAATGCCATGAAATGGGAGTCCACCGAGCCTCAACGCAACAACTTTACCTTTGCCGGTGCCGACGCTATCGTAGACTTTGCCGACAAGTACGACAAGGAGATCCGATGCCACAATCTAGTCTGGCACTCTCAGTTGCCCGCCTGGGTCAGTCAAGGAAACTTTGACAACAAGACTTTGATCTCGATCATGGAGAACCACATCAAGAAACTCGCCGGACGATACAAGAACAAGTGCACTCATTGGGATGTTGTCAATGAAGCTCTGGAAGAAGATGGCACATACCGCAAGTCCGTCTTCTACAACACCATTGGAGAAGCCTTTATCCCTATCGCTTTCCGCTTTGCCGAGAAGTACGCCGGCTCAAAGACAAAGCTGTACTACAACGACTACAACCTTGAGTACGGCAGTGCCAAAGCCCTGGGTGCTCAACGCGTCGTGAAGCTCATTCAAAGCTATGGCGCACAAATCGATGGTGTAGGTTTGCAGGCACACTTGAGCTCCGAGGCCACTGCATCAACTGGAGGCGGTGTTACCCCCGACGTCAAGACTTTGACCAACGTCCTTAAAGGGTACACTGATCTGGGCGTCGAAGTCGCATACACCGAGCTGGATGTCAGATTCACCACCCCGGCCACCGATGCAAAGTTGAAGGCTCAAGCAGATGCATACGCCAGAGTTGTCCAGTCTTGCATCAACGTCAAGAAGTGTGTTGGCATCACCGTTTGGGTAAGTCTCCTGCCATCTTTCCTCTTTTTCCCCCTCTTTTCGAGACCTTTAGAAGTGGACGTAGCTGACATTTTTTGGTGCGATATANNGGGTGTTTCGGACAAGTACTCTTGGATCCCTGGTGTTTTCCCTACCGAAGGCGCGGCGTTGCTGTGGGACGAGAACTTCAACAAGAAGCCTGCTTACTACTCTGTGCTCAAGACCATTCAGGCTTGGCGCAAGACTTGAGCAATTAAAGTGAACAGGTAGTGGTCGCTGAAGAACGTCAATGAGTCTGTAAGGCAAGGAGAGAAATGTAGTCTTTTGTATCTTGGGTATCTCATGTATTTACCCTTGTCCTTTTGATGGGAAAGCAATCTTGTTCCACGACCAGATGGTAAAGAAGTACCTAAACAATCGTAATTGCTCCCTATAGACAGGAGATCCCGAAGCTACGGCTGAACAAGTCCTGTTCTGATCTTCCATTGCAAAGACGCGGACTTGGGATGCTCTGGTGTCCTCGTTTCTCTTTTGGGGGTAGTTGGCAGTTGATACTCTTGCATTTTGGTGTCTTGGACACGATGGCTCATGGACTGAGAACATGCCCATTGGTCTGTTTGTCTTGTTCTTTTTTTCTTTCGGAGATGTTGTAACTTGTTTTGGTTATAGAGAGGGACTGGATTTACTTTTTGCCATGTGCCTTTTGTGTAAGGGTCAGATATTTGTTTTGTGTGTGGGTTCTTTCCCGATGGGGTGTGAATGTTTGGTATCATGGTACGATTTTGTATGCCCTTCATACAATTCCTCCTTTCTCTTATGTGTTTTGCATTTCTCTACGTTTCCGTTCTGGGGGGCGATACATAGTATTTTGGAAAAAACCAAAGGACAAGGAAATAGAATAGATCTCTAAATTGGGAATTCGATTTCCAAAAGACACTTATGGTAAAACTTTGAGGACTGCTTTTCTTGCTTTGGGGGTATTCTCATACTTTTGAAGCTATGTTTTTGCTGCTACCTTGGCTCGTTGTTACTGTTTCCCTCTGCACTTGTCGTTGTTACCTTGATCGTGTTGAGGACCTTCCTTCTTGGATGACTTATTCATTGCTTGGATTGTTTGCTTTTGAGTCTTCTGATGTTACATGCCTCGTGTTCTTTCCCCTCTTGGTATCTGGTCTTTTTGATGGTTGGGAACTGTCGGTGATTGGGGAACCTGGTCGCAATTGCCGAGTCTTTCTTGCTTGTGTTACTTTTGGCTTGATGTTTGATTGGAGTTGATGGAGTGGTCAAGTGCTGTTGGCTGTCTTTCTGCTTTCCTTTGTTGTTGATCTTGTTGTAGAGCTTGAGGGGATACTTGTTGTCTTGAGATTGAGCCATTTGAGACTTTTTGATGGATATGGATGGGTGGAGGAATTTTCTGTCAACCAAGGGCATGTGTTGTTGATGTGATGAGATGAAGGTGGAGAGTTTAGATGACCATCTCATCATCAACATCCTCATCTTCTTTTTGACTTCACGGGTCTCCTTCTGCTTTCCCTTTCCCTTGCTGGCTCTTGAGATGGCCATGTTTTCAGCTCCAGCATCTGCATCCGTAGCATCTGCAGTCAAATCCACAACCTGCTTGCTGCTTTCCTCAGCCTTGATCACAAGATTAGTAACAGCATCAGTATACTTATGCTGAAGACTAAAATCAATAGCATCACCCTCACCCTCCACAGCATCATCATCCATACCAGGAAACTTTCCCTTCTCATCTCCAACCTCGATTTTAGGACCTTTGGAGCCAAACTTTCTCTTCTTGGCAATGTGGGTGGGGGTAAAGGACGAAAAGTCTTCTTCATCGTCGCTGTTGTTGTCGTGCATGATTGTTGTGATGGTGTGGGTTGCTGAGAGGCCTTTTGCGCTCTTGGCGCTTCCTTTGCCGCTTGCTTTGGTAGAGGTAGAAGGAGTTTTGGGGTCATTGGTAGCAGGGCGTTTGCGAGAACCAGGGGTGATGGGGGTGAAGGATGCGGCTTGGGCTTTGATCTTGGAGAGACGGTGGGTGATGGCTTTGGGGGTGACGTCTATGTTGCAGTCAGTAATGTTTCAAGCAAGCAATGCACAGCAGGACACCAGAAAAAAATATAAGGCGCCAAAGAAACAAAACTTCACGGCACACAAACAGAAGTAAGGCAAAAGGCACAAGGAAAACTCACCTTCTCCCATCAATCTGGCAATTCTCTCGTTCTGCGCGCCCGAGATCTTGATATCGTAGACTGCCATGACGACTGTGAACAACTGTTTCCATTGTTAGCATGCGTGCAATACTCACCTTCGCCTTCCACGCCCCATTGTTGACCCCTTGAATGCAAAGGAATCGGAGAGCAGAGAAAAGCAAGATAAAGACTTACCTTGGCATCAGCCGCAGCATCCCAACTCATAGGCATTGTTGCGGTGTGTGTGCTTGACGCAGACTGTGAACGTGAAGGTTCGGTAGTGCTTGCGTTATTCTTGAGATGAAGCGTTTGGCAGTAGAGTAGAGTTGCAGCAAAAGACAAAGGTGAAGAAGCGGTAGAAGTGAGGCGCCGCTGGTTTCGTGTCGCAGTTGTGTGAAAGTGAAGCTGGAGTGAAGTGTCCTCCTCAAGTTGACTCTGCGTCAATAGATGTACAACACTTCTGCCTCAAGTTGGAGAGAAAGAGGACTGCACAAAGAAAGAAGAGGAGCGTGTGCTGTGTAGTAGAGAGATAGGTGGTTGTGTGGGGGTAGATGCAGGAAAAGGGAGGAATTCAATTAGAGAAGAGGAAGCTATGGAAGGTGGGAGTTCACGAGTAGTGATGAAAGTGAAGGGAGTGCTGAAACATTGAAGCAACACCGACGAGATGGGTTGTTGCTAATGCAACCCTCGGCAGGACCTGATGGAAGCGGAGACTGATTACTCGTGGTGTAATCAGTCGTCGATCACATCCAACAGACTCAGAGACTCACAACAGAATATGTGCCTATAGTGCGTCGAGGCCAAGCGACACAGCACTTGTGAGGGTGTTCAGCGATCATGTACGAAAGTATTTCTGAAAAGTGTGAACAACTGAGTTTCAATGGTATCTTTTTACTCAACAGATGACTGTACTTGCAAAGCTCCTCCCCATGCAAAAAATTCTTTCCTTCCCTGGTGTGCTATCTCAAGAACTGAATGGAATCAGGAACAAGAAATTTTACATCACCTCTTATCTTCTGTGCGGACCGGGTGGCGGGAAACCACCTCCATATCCGCCTGTTGAAGATCTACCCATCATTCCATTTGGGTTCCGGTAATCATATCTCATCCTCTCCTCATCCTCTTGTACACGTCTGATGTGCATCTCCTGTTCATATTGTTCTCTGTTCCTGGCATCACGGTAGCTTTGGTCAGCTTCGATACGTGCTTGTTCACGCAAAGACAGCATTTGAGGTGCAGGTCCTGAAAGAGGCTGTTGCTGGAATGGCTGAGGTGTACGGTGTTGGGTAAAGCGTTGCTGTTCTTGTTGTTGGTGTTGATGGAACTGGGCTTCGCGCTCCTTGTACTGTCGGTCCACTTCCATACGATGCTCGCGTTCACGACTCATGTGAAAGTCTCTCTCTTGTTGCTGCTGTTGTTGTCGCAGCATAGACATCTCTTCGCCACGACTAGGCTGTCTCTGGTGCAATCCACTGTGAGAAGAACCGCCGGAGCTATTGTGACGATGGCCATACTGATTTTGCTGTTGAGCCTGCATTTGCTGCACATGCGATGGTCCACCGTGGGGCTGGGCGTACGGGTTCGATTGCATGATCTGAGATGGTGCTTGAGCTGTTTGTGCCTGAGTCATGTGCGACAAGCCAGATGGCCCCTGAGGTTGCAGCTGACTGGGTGTCATTGGCCGACCGCCAATCGAAGGAGTTCGAGAATGGTTCATATAAGGATGAGTGTTGGGTGGTGGCGATGGGTTTGCTCTTGACTGAGGGTTGAGGCTACCCAAGTTCGCACGATGCGAGAAGTATGGTCTAACATCCCGCTCGAGAGGTGCTGGCGGATGAGGTGAGCTGGAAGCCAAATTTTGACCCATAGGTGGACGTGATTGCCACTCAGGTTGTCTTGATCCGACCGGCGTGCCTGATCTACCAGTCAAGAGTTCATGCTGAGCGGCTGGAGTTGGCGCATGGGATGTCGGCTGAGGATAAGATGCACGTCCAGCATACTCCTGTCTAGATCCAGGTGTCTGGTTGAATACCTCTCTTCTGGGAGGGAAAATGGTCGAATTTGGTCCAGAAGGCGCAACACTCAGCGTGGATGGTGTTGGCGATTGTGTGAATGGCGTTGTCTGATCTGCAGCTCTCTTCTTTTGCCGAGGCTCTTCTGGCTCGGAGTTGAGCAAAGATGCCAAGTTAGACGTCTTACGAGGCTCGACGGGGGGTCCTGTAGTGAGAGACACGACAGGCTTGACGACCGAAGGAGCAGGCGAGGGTGCTGGTACTGACCCAGGCCGGTACATTGGCTGCTCTTCTCTCTTTGGTGGAGATGGCACATGAGCTCTGAAGGGAGGGTGCATGGTCACAGCGGGGGACGGCATCGGTCCAGGAGAGCCCAAAATGTTTCGGAACATTGCAGGTCCAGCACGAGGGTGTGCAAGTGATGGCATGCCAGGTGTACCAGAGCGCTCGTCTCTCTCCAGAGGTCTGTCCAGCATTGACAATTGGGGAGATCCAGATGGTGCAGATGTTTGAGCAGCAAGAGGTTGAAACAACGGATGTTGAACGACTTGAGGCACATGCTCTTGTGAAGCTCGCTTCTGGATAGACAGCGCACGCTCCTGCTCTTCCTTGAGATTTTTGACAAATTCCGAGGTCAGATGTGACAAGTTTTGGTGCATGAGACCAGGTGGTGTTGGCTGCTGTTGGTGCATCAGAGAGGGCGACGGCTGTTGGGCGGGGCGCTCCGAGCCCGGCAGAGTAGGTCGTCGCTCCATTCTAGATTCAGAGAAGAAGCCCATCTTCGGACCGGAAGAAGATATGCTCGCACGTGGTTGTCCAGATGGACCAGGTTTGCCAAGAGCAGGAGACCCGTGAGGCTGGAGGGGAGTAGGCGCGGCTCTTTGCGGAGGTGCCGACGTCGGTTGCGTAGCCATTGAGAATCTGTATTGATGCTGGAACTGCGACGAAGATTGGGAGAGAGTTGAGGGCTGTGTTGGCGGAACAGGATCAATGTCCATGACTTCACCCTGTGATCCTGAAGCCGTTCTGGGCAGACTCGGTCCAGGATTGTCATAGCGTCTCTTGTTGATTGGTGTGGGCGTTGGCGGAATGCCCATGTCCTCGCCTCGGTCCCGACGAGCATTCGCAATATTAGCGGCGTCGACAACATCGGGGCGGTTTCCACTCTCGACAAGTCTCTGGTAGTAATTCTTGACCTATGCACAGATTAGCAGCTGGGAGTTGCGGTTGGATAACAATCTACACACCATGGTCTGGGTCTTAGTACCCATGTGGTTGGCAATTGCGCCAAAGTCAGTACCGAAGTGGGCGATGAACTTGACAAAATCGGTCTGCTCTGGTACAGACCAGTAACTCGACGCACTGGATCTCTGCATGGATGTCTGAGCAGGAGCACGGGTCCTTTCTGCGGGATCGTTCGTGACCTGGGCCGCGAGTGGATCATGCGCGTACTCGACATGTTGTGGTCCGCCTATGGCTCTGGTACCGGTGAAAATTCCAGTAAGAAGAGCGGCATCCTCCAACTGCTTTGCACGGGCGAAATCATCCGAAAGAGCAACTTCCTTATCCGTTCCCGCGGGTGATGTGACATGAGTGGTTGATGAAACCAGCGTTTGCCTACCTCGCTTCGCCGGTTTGTCGCCGGCAGCTGTGGTTTTGCGACGCTTCGCCGGTTTTTCAGAACCGACCTCACCAGTGGCAGGCACCTTCTTGTTAGTGGTGGTCGAGACAGCGGCTGTCTTGACTTCAGGGTCTTTCTCGGCTGTGTATGCGGTGCGAGTTGCTGCGCGCCTCGGTCTTCCAGTCTCGGTAAGCATTGGTCCAGAAGAGCTATCTTCCTCTCCAGGCAGCTTTGGCAAATCAGACATCATCTGAGGGCCTCTGGCGCGACCTGTTTTGCCACCCCGACGGCCGCCAGCCTTAGTCTTGCGTTTTTGCTTCTCCTTGAAGCGACCATCCCACTTGTACTTGTAATAATGATGGATGCAATCAGCATATGACCGACCCGGGAGTTGAGCAGCGATCTCGCCCCATTGTTTTGGCCTTTCCTTGAAGAGCTCCACAAAACGTTTGTGCTCAGCTTCGGTGAAGGTATCAAATTCTGGCTCATATCCAAAGATCTCTGTGAGACAGACGGGATCCCTGTATCGATTCATGTTTCTGAAGATTCTTTTTTCTTTCGAAGCTTGATCCCACGTCTCTGGCGGAATAGCTTCTTTTTCAAGATCGATCTGAGCCCGTCTAGACTCGCGTTCAACCTTCTCCTGTTCGAGTCTGGCTGTCTCTTCCGACTGCTTCAGAACCTGTTGTATGTCATACTCACTACTGAATTTGAGCGGTCTGGCTCGAGATGGAGGAACAGTGTTTTCCATGACGGGGCTTGACTCAATATCGAGTCCGAGCTCGACAGACATTTGTCTCTCCTCGGACTCTTTGCTTGCTCTTTCACGGTCAAGCAGCTGAGTCTCCAGTTTCCAGGCACGGTATCTCTCGAGATACTGCTGATGCAAGTCTTTCTGTAGAGTCTTCTCTTCCTCGGCCTGCGCTTGGTAATGCATGATCAATGCTGGCTGTGCAGCATTTAGGCGTGCCATGTTCTCGTGGAAAGCACCCAAGTCTGAGAGGGGAGTGAGAGGCGTCTTGGCCAGATAAGGCAGAGTGATGGTCTCAATGCTACGTTTGGGCTCAGGAGTTATGAAGTCCAAGTCCTCACTGCCATCCATGTCGATATCATCGTTCTCATGGGTCTCGGCAGACTGGACGACTCGATCGGGTTCAGATTGCTTGTAGGCTGTTAGGATAGGTGGAACAGCCACGGTTTCTGTTTCGTCAATCTGCTCCTTCTTGGGCGTGATGAGATCTGCTCCAATGTCTTCTTGAGTTCTCGATGATGGTGGATGCAATGTTGAAACAACTGGCTCAGGTGCTTCTGATGTGTCCATGCCTTCCATGACATCATCCTTAGCTTCTTCTGAGGTCGAGTCTTGGACGCTGGGAAGGTCGTGGACAGTAACGTTGGCAAGCCTGGCGATCTGTTCCAGCGGAGTAGTTGCTCTATACTGCCTAGCATTCAAGTCGATCATCTGGGCTTCCAGATGTGCTTTTTGCCTCTCGAACTTAGCCTTGCTTTGAGCAAAGTCTTCCTCGTCAAGGTCCATGCCCTCTTCGTCACTGATGAAGTCCTCAGACGACTCGGCAGTTGCTAGATCGGCATTCGCTGCAAGATCAGATTGAATAGTGTCACCAGGGCTAGGCACACTATACTCCTTTTGGAATGGGGGATTGTTGACGGGATTAGTATTAGACATCCTTCGTTCAGGTGACACGGGTGCTGTCTTGAAGGCACGGTCATCTTTGGCTTCTTCCGCTCTTATAGACGAGGGATCCGAGATTTGACGGTGCATGTTCTGAGGGGAAGTCTTTGGAATGAACTGTTGCGACTTTTCATCACCATTCAAGTCTCTCTTGGCAGGGATTGTGGCCTCTCTGTATTGGGGAGCACCAGGTCTTATCCATTGGTTCCATGCGGGCGCTCTTGGAGCTCCTGGAGGTACACGTGACGGAGCAAGGCCATTTCTATCCATTGGTCTGTGAAGAGGTTGCCCACGGTCCACTGAGGCTCTTGGAGCCATGGGAGGCCCGCGAATGGCCTTGGGGGCGGTCGGGATGTTAGGATTCTGCATAACAGGGGATGTGCTGAACGCGTGTGTATTGCGTGGGCCGCTGGGCGCCGACGGAGGTGGTGTACCAAGTCTGGNGGGTGCCATATCCAGTCGTGGTGTTCTTCCGTCTTGCAGGTTGCTAGAGCTGGATTGTGAGGGGGGTGTAGGTACCTGGCTAGAAAGAGTCTCCAAGGGTTTGATTGGGGTCATCTGGGCCATTTGAGCGACAGGAAGTCCCGAGGTACGAGGTGACGTTGGCGTGTTGCTCATATCTGGCTGGAAAGAACCCGAAAGGCTACGTCCCTCGCGGACCGCTGCTGGAGCGAACTGCCCACCTGCTCTGTCATCTGTTCGCAGAGCCCATGGTCCGGTAGGAACTGGAGGCTGTGGTGCGGATGAGTTCCTAGCCTTTGGCGCAGAAGGCGCTCTGTCAAGAGGTGTTTCTCTAGGAGCACTCGGAGGGACATTTTCGAGTGCTCTGGGCGCTCTAGGGGCAGCAGGCGGTGGTGCCGCGAGTTGTGCTTTGGGGGCAGTGGGAACGGTCTTGACGACAGGAGGAGATGGCATAGGCGGCTTTGCAGGGGTGGCTGGAGCACGATTTTCTGGTGAAGCTTTCCACACATTTGAAGTAGGGCCACTATATGGCTGAGCCTTGAACGATAGAGATCCGAAAGCAGGCACTTGGGGCGCTGATGGTGGTGGTGATGAGGCGCGAGATCCATAACGAGCAGCTGAGGACTCGACACGGCCAGCCAGAAGATCATTGGGTGGTAGAGGCATCGGTGGCGGGGCATTCTGAGGCGGCACATCACGTCGAAGAGGCTCTTTGACTCCAGACAAGGATGACATCGAAGGTCTTCGCATTGCGAGATCATCTCTCGAGGACTCGAAAGGCGGTACGCGCTCAGCCGGAGCTTGCGTTAAAGGTACTTGTTGATGAGGAGTAGGCGGGCGTGAATCAAAGCGGCTGGACGCAGGCTCTCTTCTAAATCGATCAGGCTCGCGCTCGCGGTCATCACGATCGAGCCAGCGATCGTCTTCGCGTCTCTCAGGACGCCAATCGTCTCTGTCAGTGCGAGATATGCTTCCCCATCTCGTGGGTGGTGATCTGTCTCGGGGCCTAAATGTGTTGCGGTCGTCTGCAGGTCCGCGGCGATCACGAAAGCCAAAATCTCCTCGGCCCCTTCCTCGGCCTCTGCCGTTGAAGCCACCTCTACCGAATGGAGGCTGACCGAATGGAGGTGCATCCGAGTAACCAGGTCCAGCATTGATGGGCCCGTCTCTGGAATCGCGGCGACCTCTACCTAGGTCGAGATCACGAGGTGGGATAGGTCCATCTCTGAAGCCCCTTACCGGTGAGCGAGCTCTAGGAGACGTAGGCCTTGGTCTGCGATCAAACTCACGTTCTCTGAAAGAGCGGTCAGTTCCAAGAGGTGGTGCATCCCTCAATTCTCTGAATTCCGGTCTTGGTGGTGCGCCTCTGCCGCGAGGTCCAAGTGGTGCTGAGGTACTAGTTCCTGGGGCTGGGCCTGGGCCTAGTGGTCCTCTGGGGCTGTCATTGAAGGTCTTGGGGCCTCTTGGAGGATCCAGTCCCCGGTTGAAGTCTCCATATCTGTTGTTATTGTTGTTGTTGAATCCAGGATTTGGTGGTCCGTTGGGTCTCCATCCATCCTGATGTCTCGGCGGTGATCGCGACCGAGTACGAGGTGGATAGCGGGACTCGTGTACCGGAGGAAAGCGTGACGACATACTATTAATGTACAGCACAAAACATTATCATGAAAGAGAATAGATCGTGGGGCACGTGCTGCGTCAACGCGTGTTGCGCTGTTGGGTGATGAAATTCAATTGGCGATGAACCAGGATCGTCGAAAAACCAGTGAGCGCAATTGATGGTGCTTGCGCGAGCTGTCAAAGGAGTGAAAGGATTAGTGGTATGCGCGGTGAAACTTGCAGTCGAGGCGTGGCAAGATTTGGCGTCAGATCTAAACGCCAAGAACTCCGCGAACTGATCCGCGCTTGTGGGCCTTCGAAGACAAGGCACTCTCGAATCACCCGTGTCTGTGTAACGATTTCACCCTCAGCTTTCAACACCACTGCGAGATGATCTTGAGGACTCAAAGAGCGGCGTCCAAGCTTTCTTCGAGACAAGAAGGCAGTGAAAGTTGACGAGAGCTGCTATTGGGAGGAATTTGACAAGAAGGATCGAGGAAATGGCCGGATCTCGAACGATCACGACGAAAGAAGCTGGCGGGTTGGTCACTTGGGTATCGAAAAGAAGCGACAATGATGCCGAGTTCGATTTTGGATGTGCCGGCGAGTCCTGAGGTCGTCTGAGAGAGATGGAGGTGTTTGGCTGGAGGATGTCGAAGGACAGGAGAAGGAAACAGAACGTGTAGAGTAGGCGTGCGGAGCCAAAGCCAAACTCTATGTCATGCTGGTTGGCCGGTGCTTTGGCCGGTGCTTAGTTTCACGCATCTCGTGGATAGTACACTAACCCGTGAACCGTACGCTCGGGCGGAATGCCAGGGCTAGAGTGAAAATCTAGTCATCGGGGTTGCTTGACGTCTTCTTGAACAAAGAACCAGATTGCACAAACAGCCCGACATACACCCCGTGTTTTACACTCGAGTGCGCGATGAATTTGCGGCAGCACTGACTTCAAGAACAAGGGCTGGTCGATCGCATATGTCATTTGGAGTACCTTAACGGCTATGAAGCTCAAAAGTCTCGGCTGCGACATCTGCAAGCCCAGGCAAGCCAGGAGCAGGGATTTGCGGATCGAGATGCTGATGATCCTCGACTCGATGCATATCTGTCCATCCTATCAACCTTCCACCTTCGATGTTCCCTTACAGCACATAGCCGTCGTTGTAGCGCATATATTGCACTACAAGATTGAATTGCAATCGAATCTTGATGTGAGTCGTTTTTGGCGTCGAACCGTCATCAAAAGTTAGCTTGTGCAGCATGCGTGCCGAGCCGCTTGCATTTAGAGTGAGCTGTCGCGCGTTAGTAAGCCTCGAAATTCCAGGGTTCTCGAAAATCTCCTAGACCAGCAGTCACGCCAGCACCAGGAAAAAGGTAGCTGCCGTCGACAAGCACCACATCTCCATTCTCGTGTTCGATACCCGTACACACTCGCCCATCAAACGCTACCCCCGCAACCATGACCGCGCCGACTGGAGCTCAAGATGCTGTTCTCAGACCTTCCGACCCCGTACCCGAAGGAGCCATTCCTGTAACTGGACTCGATTTCGACAATTTCGCCGGCCGCAATATCACCGCGGCCGAGATGGTGGAAAGCATGACCAACATGGGTTTCCAAGCAACCTCGGTCGGACAAGCAACAAAGATCATCAACGGAATGGTAAATCCATCTCGGGGCCCCGAAACCGACAAGCCGACTAACTCGAGGACGACANNGCGTGAATGGCGTGATGAAGAGACGGGAGAAGGCACGACTATCTTCTTGGGATATACATCGAACCTCATTTCGTCGGGTCTGCGAGAGACACTGCGGTGGTTGGTACAGCACAAGCATGTTTCGGCCATTGTCACAACTGCTGGAGGTATCGAAGAAGACTTCATCAAGTGTTTGGCCCCGACATATCTGGGTGCCTTCTCCACTCCGGGAGCATCTTTGAGAGCCCAGGGCATGAACAGAATCGGCAACCTGGTCGTGCCAAACGATAACTACTGCGCATTCGAGGACTGGGTAGTACCAATCATTAACACGATGCTAGACGAACAAGAGGCGTCCAGAAAGACAGACGAGCCTATCTACTGGACTCCAAGTAAAGTCATCAATAGACTAGGAAAAGAGATCAACGACGAGCGCTCTGTATACTACTGGGCATGGAAGAATGATATTCCCGTCTTCTGTCCTGCTCTGACAGACGGAAGCTTGGGCGACATGCTGTACTTCCACACGTTCAAGGCGTCACCAGCGATGCTGCGTATAGACATTGTGGAAGACATCCGTAAGATCAACACAATCGCAGTCAGGGCCAAGCGTGCAGGTATGATCATCCTGGGAGGCGGCATCGTCAAGCACCACATCGCCAATGCTTGCCTCATGCGCAACGGAGCAGAGAGCGCCGTCATCATCAACACGGCCAACGAGTTTGATGGAAGCGACGCGGGCGCACGACCAGACGAAGCCGTCAGCTGGGGCAAGATCAAGATAGACGGCGAAAGCGTCAAGGTAAGTCACGGCGGCTGAATTCAGCAGATGATTGGAAGACGCATGCTGATACAAGACAACCTGCAGGTCTACGCCGAGGCGACGGTTGTATTCCCTATGATCGTAGCAGCAACATTTGCCAAGGTGGCTTGAACGTTTCCACGAATACGGGGAGATAAATTGGAAGAGGCACAAATTTGAGCCACCCAAGGCAAACTGCAGTGCAGGTTGTTTGGGGACTACCAAGCAGGTGTATCCGGCCGGTGTGATTGCATGCTTGAGAATGAAACAGTTCCGAGCGGATGGATGCAGTGCAGGCAAGGTGCATGGGTTTGTCCTCCTTCCAAAGTTCAAATTTAGCCAGTGGGCAGGACCAAGCCAGGCTGGCTGACGAAGGATTAGGCGCGAGCCGAACCGCAGACCTTAGCGCCCGCGCGGCAATAACAGGGCAAAATCGACGCACGTGCCTTGTCGAAGCCGAGGTCGGAAGCAGAGGCGGTACCTTGATGAGCATCTGCTCTCTCTTGATAAGAGCCGTTGCTGCTGCCTTGTCACATGGTTTACGACGATCATTTTGAGCTACTGAGAATAGACAGAGTATTCAAATGGCATATCAGTCCTAATGCGAGAAGCTGCAAGATCTTTCAAAGTTCCTGCTTGAAAACATGTCGAGCTTCGAACGTTGGATGTGTTATGGCAGGCGACAGCGGACTAGGTATTGCTCAGTAGCTTGAATTCCGACGAGCGCGCTCTTCGACCGTCTTGATTGAGGCTTGATGATTGCTCTTCACCAGTGTCGCAGGTGCATCTATGTGCCTGTCTGGCGCTGGGATGGCGTGGCTGCAGAAGCGGGGATGACCTGATTGCACATGCAGCGCATGTGAAACCAAAAGTTTGGTTGGATCAGAGTTGTTCTTGGCCACAAGGAGAACAGTCATCAAAGAGACACCGCACGGCAACTTTTAGTTGGCCTTGTCTGCTTTGCTGTCGTTTGTCATTTGGTGCCTGCCTCTCTTGACGCGTCGCCTTGACTATGGCTGCCACACTCGCTCAGTCACCACACGCGCTGCATGCGCAAACAACAAGTCCAGTTCACAACGCTCCTGCCTACGAGACACACGGCGACTTGGAGCTCCACACAGCGAGTTCACCTCTCACATCTTCTATCATGGATGAACGTATCAATACTGGAAGCCGCCCCGCTCTACCTCCTCTATCCCATATCAATGACAACGACTCAGCCATGGAGGGCGCCGAAGACACTGCCGGTAGATCATCACCTGTCGCTCAGCCGCAGCATACCTTCGGAGTAAGTCTTGTTTCTTCCTTGCCATCTGCCGACTCTCTATGCGTGTCGCACTGCACATCGTCTTTCGTTCTGCAACTTGATCTCTGGGCATGCGACACTGCATGATCCCCAGACCCATGTCCGCTTTTGCATTGGCCTCTCACTGCTCCAGCCAGAGAGAACCTCCGACTAACGTAACGCAGAACTCACCTGCTCCTAATACACCCACCACGCATGTCAACGTCTTCGATGTTCCGGACGCTGTCGACGCACCTTCACCCGTCGTACCTGAACCGCTCTCGCCTGTTCATCCACCCCCACCACCAGCCTTGACACCCCGCCCGCGGAGGGTCAGTCGACGGGGATGAAGAGGAGGACGACGAGGACGACGCCAGAAGTCATATCAGCGACGAGCGGGCAAGAAGCTTCTATCCCTTCCAGGAAGACAAGAGTGTCCCAGATACCGAGGAGCTGAGGCATATACGAGCGAACCCTGAACACAGTGCTCTAGACGACCATCATTGGCAATCAGGAACTTTCTTCGATTTACGAGATCCTGAATTCGTGCCCCGAGAGCAGGGCAAGATCGAGTGGACAATCAAAGACTTCAACGGTACAAAGGACAACCCTAGAAAGAGTCTTTTGCTCACGTCAAACATCATTCGTATCGGTGGTTACGACTGGAGGATCAAATTGCTGCCACATGGCAATATGCAAACCGATCGTCTTAGTCTGTACGTCGAAAATGTCTCGGTTCAGTCATCAACGTCGCAGGAGTGGCCAGAGGATCAGCTGCCTCTACCTCCACTAGGTGTCACCAAGGTCATGAGACCAGGGTCTGTTGCTGCACAGATATCAATTCTTATCTACAACCCCGAAGAGCCTCTTGTGAACGAGTTCAAGGCAGACGCCTCTCAGTTCTCTCAAAANTATCCTGACCACGGCTGGACTCGCTTCACGAGCTTGCCATGGTATCAAATCCATCGTCGCTCTTATGCTCAGCGACAGCCTCTCCTCCGCAATGACACTCTAGCCATCAAGGCATTCATCCGTGTGATTGATGATCCTACTGGCTGCTTGTGGGCTCCCAAAGACTTGCCAAAGTTGGCCTTGACTGCTTTACATCCATTTTCCGACGACTGGCGCGAGTCTGCAATCTTTCCCGTGTTGGCCTTGTGGCTACATTTACGTCCTTTTCGTGAGGTGCTGTACAAGCTCGGAACCATCGATTTGTTCACCAACAAGGGTAACAGCATAGTCACTGAGCTTCAGTGGATCCTGTCGCGTATGCGATACAGAGTCGATTACAAGAAAGGTCTCACCCCTTGTAACGGCAACTTCATCAATGACCTCCTATTGAAAAGAGGTCCCCAAAGGCGCATCCATGCTATGGACGCCATGCAGATCATGGATACAATTCTCACTGATATGAGAGCTGGACTCGAAGAACACAAAGACGCTCTCGAGAGCCTAACCAATCTGTTCGGGACGAATTCTTTCTCTGGCACTCGGCTGACTAGACGATCAATTGTCGGCAAGACTTCGATGCAAGAAATCGTTGACGAAGGTCTACCTGAAGTGCTTCTCAAGAGCGAAATCCTCACTCTTGAGCTCGAGCGTCAGATCTTTGATTCGGAAAAACGAATTTGGAAGAAGCGTCTTGACAAAGTGCGTCTGAACGATCAGATCACAGTTGCGGACGGCTCTACATACACGCTATATGGTTTTGTCGCGCATGAAGGGTATCTGCGCAACGGCGAATACACAAGCCATTTCCGCCCTGGTGGGATCGGCGGTCTATGGTATACATACGCGCGCAACAAGGACCCTGTATGCCAAACCAGAGCACAGGCTGTTGCATCAAGAGAAGGTGTGTTGGCTACCTCGACAGACTCCCCTTTAGCTATCGAGGAGCCAGCCATATCTTCTGACTGCTCTATCGACTACATCCATCCTCAAGATCAGGCTGATGGGGTAGCCTATGTGGTCATCTACGTGCGCAATCCCGATACTCTTGATCTTGCTGCGAAGGAGCCTTGGGATCTACCACAGTGGATCATCAACTTGTATACTCCAGAGCTTGGAACGGGTGACGCTGACAGCGCAAACGAGAGTGTCATGTATGAGGACACAACATCAGACGACGAAGACGAGGAAATGAACGACCCACCCACTTCCCACACCCTCGCATCACAGTCACCATCCGATGCTCTGGAGGAAGTCACGATAAACTACCTCTCAAGCCCATTTTACGAAGGGCATGTCAATAAACGCTGCGAACATCACGGCTATGGTCACCTGATATACCTCAACGGTGACGAATACTTTGGCAACTTTAGCGAATCTCAGCGCTCTGGATATGGCAAGATGCTCTATGCAAACCGCGACACTTACGACGGCCAATGGGCGCAAGACCAGCCACATGGCGAGGGTACCTACACGTACCATCGTACTGGCAACGTCTACACTGGCAACTGGCAAGAAGGCAAGAGGTTCGGCACGGGGACTATGCACTACAAAGTCAGTGAAGAGGAGGCCAAGCTGTGTAGAATCTGCTATGGGCAGGAGGCAGATGCAGGATTCTACAACTGCGGACACGTGTGTGCTTGCGTTGAGTGTGCAAGACGATTGGAGGATTGTCCTGTCTGCAGGCGCAGGATCAAGGATGTGGTCAAGCTGTTCTACTCGACTTGAATTGGTGCAACATGGGGCAGCATACGACAGCATTAGATATTGGTAGTTTTGCTTTCTCTCTCATTGAGAATTCAGCGATGATCTTTCGCTATCATAACACACCATCGGGCGCTTTACAGACAGAATAGTGGCTATGAGACTTCCTTTTGGTAATGTGTTCTCTGTGTGTTCAAGCCGGTGGCTTGGAAAGTATTGCGCATCTTTCAGCTCACAGTATCGACAGTCAAGAGAGAGATTGGGCGAGGAAGAGAGCCAAGTCTTCTTTATGCAACAATTAAATCGAAAGTAGGCAGTATGAGAGTATAATAGGTCAGCCATTCAATTCAGCCATCCACGTGACAGGAGTGAAACGACTTTCGATAGCTTCACATCGCACAGCTGGCATCTCGATCTACGAACAGCCATCAAAATTGACAAAGTACCATCATCAAACATCGAAAAAGCCTCAGCAATGTCCGCCTATACTCGAAATACACTACTTGTATCTCTGAGCGCGTATGCCGTGTACGCGCTCCTAATCTTTGGCGGCAAGAATGGCACTCTGTCACTCGCTCGAGAAGCATCTACCTTCAACCGACTTCCCGGATCAGATGCGACATATGCAACAGAATTCACCGGTATCACTGCACTGGACAAGTTTCTCAAGGGACCCACCACATTCTTCTGGCCCATTGTGAATGGCAACGTGGCCGGATCTTCGCTCATGTGTTTTTACTTTGCGGGACAAGGTATTGCTGCTTGGGTGTTGATTGCGCTTGAAGGATTACGCGAGCAAAACATCAAGAGATGGGGGATTGTGTCCTTTACGACTTGTTTCGGCATGTTGTTTCAGGGGCTGGGGATTGCCATTGTCGGACCTTTGTTTTTGTGTTTTGCGCCGCTGGGGGCACGGTGGGTTGATGTGTGCTTTGAGCGCAAGAGACGTGAGCTCGATGCACTGGTTTTGAGTGTGGTTGGTGGCTTGCTGATACCGACTGTGGTCATGTCGTTGCCTGCGCCTTCTGTGTTGAGTGTTGGGTACAAGATTGACGCTATCCGCGTGTGGCAGTTTTTCCCTCTGCTTTGCTATCTCGGTATGTGGATCTGGACGCCCATTGTAGGGTTCTTTGCAGCTGCGCAACACACTTCTGTCGACGAGAGACGCGATTTGCAGGTCATGGCTTTGCGACGCGTCTATGGCTTTGGCCTCTACGCCGCCACGCTGACTCATATCGGCGCCATCTGCATTTCCCTACTGGCAACGATATCCCCTCACCTCTTTGCCGAAAATGTGGCCTCGTCTCTGCATCCGAGCACTCTGTTTGTTCCCGCATGGCCAACCACTGCTCTAAAAGTCGCCACGCTGGAGCAAGGAGCACATATCTTNTTGCAGTGGGACATGCTGATCATGGCTTGCACTTTTCTGGTCTGGACTGTGTGGGCAAGAGGGTACGTGGAGTCGTCGTTGTTGTCTAGAGTCCTGGTGGCGGGTCGTGGTCTCGGGTACTGTGTGCTCGTTGGGCCCATGGGTGCGAGTCTGCTGGCCATGTGGGAGAGGGACGAGATGATGTATAAAGAAGCCCGCCAAGAAGTAGCTTCTGGAGAAGGAAAAAGAGTCCTAGCGTAGAAAGAAGGAGGCTTTGTGTCGCAATTGTGGATATGAGTATGTATCGTACTAGGAACAGGGGGGTTTTTAAAGCATATCCGCTGTCTCTCTCTATCGCTGGATTTCCTCATTCGCATTGTTACCCTATGGCTGGCAGCATTCGTACCACTTTTCCACTCTCTTTCTGTCTTCAATCTCTAAAGCCTTGGCTTTTATTTGCCTTTCTTCATTGCTATACATCGCTAGTCTCCCTTCTTCTACCGTTGACTCTAACTTTACTGCAAACCCTCACTACTATACACAGCTAAAATTCTGAGACGGGCAGAAAAAGACTTCAGACATCAATGCTGCTATACCGAACCTTTGTCGCTCTCTGTAGCACGAACACGATAACTATAAGCATCTTTTGTAAAAAAATCCCCACGGGGACGAAGAAAGTAAAAGCAAAAGATGTTACTCGTCGCATAGATACGGAGAAGATGGAAACAGAGCAATACGCAAGAAAAGACGGACCAAGAAAGCCAAGTCCGATGATATACGGAAGAGTTCTAACTATAAATCCACAGTAGACACAAAAACACAGGACTCAAGAAAAAAATCAATCTGCCACTTTGACTTGTTTGGCTAATTGTCCACTAAAAGTCTCATCAAAGGCTACTGAGACGCATTCTTGTCTTCCTCTAGCAAATTGCCCTTTCCTTCTTTCAGAGACTTGACTTCCTCGGCTACTAAAAAAACCAATTCACCTGTTTAGAGTTACTCTCCAAGCTGCATCAAGCGTACATGACCCAGTCTTCCTTCTCGCGACGTTCCCATTTAGGCGTGTGCTCAACCTCTAATGCCTTCCAGGCTTCGTCAACATCAAAGTCGCTTCTGACAGCCCACACCTTGTGTTCGTTGTCTGGCATACTCGGCGTATTCAGTCCACCGTGCTTGCTCTTCTTGCCGTAGAAGTCGTTGGAGCCAGCGATACAAGCGTTTCCTTGACCCCAGACAGTGTCGGCCACAGTCTTCCACACGGCACTCTGATCAAGCACCATGGCTTTTGTGTAGAACATGCGGCAATCAGTAGGCTCATAGATGAATTGGTATGGCGTCTGTTGCTCGTCGTCTTTCCTGATGCCGTCGCGGAAGTTGATGGAAGCGCTTCTGCCTTGGGCCAGTGGCAGCTTGGTGTACTTTGCCAACACGGTATTCTTGAGTTGCTCCTTGTCTTGCGACCAGATGATGGTTTGTACCACGGTTTGCCATATGTAGGACCATTGGTATACAGCTGTGCCCTTGACGCCGCCGACGCCTTGCATGGGGTCGGTGGAGGGACGACCGCCGAGAGCAATGGTCTTTACGCCTGCTTCTTGACGAAGGAACTCGGAGAAGATTGCGCAGGTCGAGGCGCAGGCGCCATCATACANCTGAGGAGGATCGCATTAGCATGAGTTATATACAGAATGAATGTCGATATGCCACTGACCTAGGATAATGTTCTCGGTTTTGAAAGCCTGGTCAGTAGATGCATTGGAATCATTGCCATACCCGGATACTTCAATACCACCAGCGTGTCGAAACATCATAGAATCATTGAGATTCCAACGGATGAGTGAGGAATAGGTATCGTTCCCAAAGTGATGAGGACCATACTTTTCTTTCCAAGAGGGCCATGGTTGGTCGCCAGAGTCGAGATCGGTACGATAGTCCCACGGTATCAGAACGGGATTGTCTGGAGAATAACTAGTGTTCGAGTATATCTCACCTATCCGGTCAACTGATTCGTGGGCACGAAAGCGGGTCGCACCGTAAGGGTGTATGGAAGGGAAGAGCTGCTTGAAGAGATCGTAGCCCTGCATGATTGTGCCGCCACCATTCGCGCTAACATCGATGATCAGTTTGGTCTTATTCGCGGCCAAGGCGGCGGCGATGAATTCGGAATTGACTTTTTNGAATTCAGGTCCGGCGTATGGCGTGCCCACAAAGGATCCGACTGCCAGAACGGCAACATCCTCGAAGCCAGGTTCCTCGAGGAAGTAGCCTCCATTGAGATACTCCCGCGATCGAACGACGGGAGATGGATAGCCAGGAGCAGGCATGGTTTCGGTGTGGTCTTTCGATGAATCATCGTCGACTTNTTGCAAAGTGAGTAATGTGTTCTGGCTTGAAGTAAGGACGACGCATGTCGTTGTCCTCGTTCTCGTCATTCTGCTCATCCTCGAGCTGCAGGCCCTNNCAAAAACGTTCAGGTAGACCTCAGGGTGTGGGATGAGATAGTTACTGTAGATATCAGCTCCAGACTGAATCCCTTTTACACCAACACGGGAGACGGCATAATTTTCGATGACGATGTTGGTTCCATTTGCAAAAGTCAGAGTAGTCGTAGGCCCTGGGTAGACGATGGGGCTACGGTCACCGTTCGAAAAGGATCCAGCGTCACCACTTGTACCCGAAGCCTTCGCGTTTGAGTAGAAGAGGGAGTTCCACTTGGCATCTCTGTCTGTGAAACCACTGTCCTGGGACAGCTCGAGCAAGAACTCGGTGGTGTTCCTCCCATCAATTTGTACGATATGAGAAGGCTTGAAGGATGAATTGCATCTGCACCCTTGGGAAGCCAGGATGTCTGCGTAGGCATAGACGACTGGTAGATCTTTACCGTCTTCGGAAACAGACACGAGTGGAGTCGTACGTCCGAAAGTGAAGAGTGTAAGAACATTGGGTATGTATGCGAAGTGGCCGCCGTCGTGTGCTAGCTGAGTAGATTGGTAGAGGTCCCATCCAAAGTCGTACTCGCTGGCATAAGCTCCATTGGCGACGTTAGCTTCGATGGTATCGAAAGTAGCCCAGAAGTCGTATGGTGGCTGAACCTTTTCTGCATACTGTCGAAAAGTCAGTAGTTGACCATGTAGAACAGGTAGAATATGCTATCTACCTCCTTTGGAGGNGTCCTTGAGATAAGCCGTGGTCGATTGCCATTCCAGATAGGGTCTCATTGAATCTATCAAGGCGGCCGCGGCACTCTGGTTGAAGGGGATCGAGTTTAGACAATCATAGGCAAGTTTGGCAGGTATACGATCTTTGTGGTGGTTGGAGGAGATTTCCTTTGAGGCTTGCACGGCCAACCTTACACTGTTGCATGGAGAATCTACGGTCGGCGGCGTGGTCGTTCTGGTGTTCTTAGACGAGGCGGTAGGTGAGAGGGTCGAAGAACTGTTAGCATGCAGCGGAGCTGCATGCGCCAGCACTCGGCAGCAGAAGCGACAAGAAAGCCGACTTCATTTTTCCGACGGGGTTGAGAGTCAAGAGGGAGGAGATTGGAAGGAAGAGGTACGGTATAAATAGTAGTTTGGAATGTTGAGATGACTGTGAAGAAAAACTCGAACGAACTCAAATACTGAGCGTGTAACAATCATGGGTGGCTCATGGGGAGCATGGGAAATAACATTTTGTATGCCACGTTGTCAACAGAGTTCATTTTCGCTGTCGGTCAAGATGAGGAGTCGTAATAGCTGACGTCTTTACGATGACTACGTGTAGCTGTGTAGAGAGCGATCAAGTAGAGGCTTGACGGAACAGGGTGACAAGCCTCTCGCCTTGACTTTCATCACGCAGGCGTTGAACCAAGAAGTCTTTGAGATCAGCCCAGAACTCGTCAGACTGCAACATCTGAGCAGCGGTGTCATGGGCGTGAGGAAGAGCTTCGGCTTCAGCTTGTGCATGTTCAGAAAAGGGAGCAGAATCAGGAGGCAGCTTCTGGGTGTCCTCGGGTTTGACTACAGGTGAAGCTGGAGCGGGTGTGGAGGCCTGGCTTGGGGTCGAAGCACCAGCGAGGAGCATGACGCTGAAGTCGGCGTTTGTGGGAAGAGGATCAGAAAGGACATCCTTGAGGGTCTTGAGGTCGGTGCATGGTCTCTTGTTCAAGAGAAGCTTGATCTTGGTCTTGTCGAGGCTGAACTTTTGGGCATACTGAGTCTTGAGGTCGAGAACGGTGGTGTTGGGAGATTGGGCTTGAAGGTCGAGCTGGTCGGAGCCCTTGAGCGGCTTGAGGGTGACATTGACGGTCTGCGGCTGTTGGCCAGCGGTGGGTCTTTGGCGGCGAGGAAAGGGATGAACAGGCTTGGGGAGAGTGTACTAGACGAGACAGATCAGTGGCTGCAGAGCAAGTGTCTGGTTGCAATCATGACATACAGGAGCTTGGGCAGGGTATTTCCTGGGATCCGAGACGTGGTCGCTGCTGAGTCTGGAGGGGCGCTTCTCCAGGCCCGACATGAGGGCTTGTGCAAACATGGTTTCCGACATGATTGCGATGTAAGGAGACGAGACGAGATGTGATGTGACGATGTAGTTGGTATACGAGTGCATCAAGGCGAGTCGGGAGTGTCGATTTCCCCGCAGTCGCGCCTGCCACATTGTCGTCAGCCGGCCCAAGCTTCCACTTCTTGTGAGAGTCGCTCTTTCCTCTTTGCGACTTCTATCATACACACACTCATCATGTCGACACTATACAACCTCGAACCGCCGCCGACGGCCAAGGTCCTGCTCAACACCACATCCGGCGATCTCGTCGTCGAAGTCTTTGCCAAACAAGTCCCTCTCGCGTCTCGCAACTTTCTCCAACACTGTCTGAATGGCTACTACGATGGCACCATCTTCCACCGCTTGGTCCCAGGTTTTATCATCCAGGGCGGCGACCCTACTGGAACTGGTTCTGGTGGTGTGAGTACTGTCAACGATGGCGCCCCTTTCGCCGATGAATTCCACTCGCGACTCAAGTTCAATCGTCGTGGTCTGCTGGGCATGGCAAACTCTGGAGACAAGAATGACAACACTTCGCAATTCTTCTTTACCTTGGACAAGACCCCCGAGTTGCAGGACAAGAATACCATGTTTGGTCGTATCGAAGGAGACACCATTTACAACCTGATGAAGATGGCCGAGGCCGATTTGGCTGGCGAGTCAGACCGACCACTATATCCTACTCGCATTATGTCCACCGAGGTTCTACTCAACCCCTTCAGTGACATGGTCAAGCAAGCTTCAATCGCCATATCCACAACACAAGAGACAAAGGCTCCCAAGAAGAAGCGCAAGGCCACAAAGACTCTCCTGAGTTTCGGAGGAGAAGAAGGAGAAGAGCCCGCTGCTCCTGTTGTCAAGAAAGTTAAGGTCAATCCCAACTTTACTCAAGCCGAGCCACAACAGAAGGAAGTCTCAAACAAATCTGCCTTGCCAAAGGTCCCAGAGCAACCAAAACGAGAGAAGCCTGTCCGCAAATCATCCTCACCTCCTGCACCAACACCAGCGATACGTCAAGCACCTGTCCCTACAACAAAACCCGCGCCCGCACAATCTCCCTCGCCTTCACCAACACCCTCGCCAGAACGTCGCAAGCCGACTGCCCTTGAACGTACCAATGCCGAAATCGCTCAACTAAAAGCTTCAATGAAACGTACGACAACAACCACCTCAGCCCCCGAAAAGAAACTCTCCGCCCTCGAATCCATGATCCCAGCATCAGCAACCCGCGGCCGCAAACGCGGCAAAGCAAAAGAAGACGCCTCCTCCCTGTCCACCTTCAACGCCTTTAAGAAGCGACTAGAAAAACTGCCCGCCGAGAAAGAACCCGCCACAGCCACAACAACCACAGCTGCCATACCAGAAGTCAACACCACGCAAACAGAATCAGCACTGGATACAGAAGACAAACTCTGCGATCTGCACTTCATCGCCAACTGCCAGAGTTGCAGCACGTGGCATGATGAAGACGAAAACAAGGAAGAGGAGGATGACAATGATGCAACTTGGATGTCTCACGCACTGAGTTTCGCCAAAGATACTTTGGGCAAGGATCTGGAGTGGAAGAGGAAAATGGAAGAATTCGAGGTTATCGATCCGAGAGAGAAGACGAGAGAGATTGTGGGTGATAAGGGGAGGAATAAGGGCAAAGAGTGGGATAGAGAGAGGGAGAGGAAAGGCAAGGGGAGGGCTTGAAAGTCTGGACATGGGAAAGAAAAACATCAGACTTTGTGCAAAACTCGAGAGGTTTCTAATCCAAATTCTCCCATTCTACTTGCCTTTGAACGTGCACAAGACAAGAACTATATTCGCAGGTTCTGTAGACTGTATGTTTCCTGGTCTGGCTTCAGCGTCTTGCTTTCACATGTACTCTTCACTCTGTCCCATGCCAAAATACAACAAAGCGGAATCGCAAAGCCGATGAAAACAAGTAGTGGATATCTCTCGCCATCATCTTCCCATTGCCAACAAAAGCGAAAAGTCTCCATATGCAATCTCTCCCAACACACCCTTATTTCCCAGCACTTCTCCCCTGCTTTCTTCTCTTGCCCTTGACATCTCTACCTTCCTCGATCGCCAAAAGCGCCTCCCTCTTCTTGTCTCCCACAACATTCAACGCATCCCTGACAACCCTGCTTTCCACATTGACACCTTCCTCTACATATTCCTCCATCTTTCTTCCCACTCTGTCTTCTATCGCTTGAACAAGCCCTACATCCCTCTGTCCCACCAATGACACCGAAGTACCCGTACGGCCTGCGCGCGCCGTACGACCAACCCTATGCACATAATCATCAGGATCGCGGGGGAGATCATAGTTGACCACCAACGCCACAGAAGGGATATCCAGACCTCTGGCGGCGATGTCCGTGCACACGAGAATGCGAGCGGCGTTTGCGCGGAAGCGGGCGAGATTGTTGGTGCGATCAGATTGCTGGAGTCCCGAATGCAGAGAGGTGACGCGGTGATCGAGGGAGCGCAGTAAATGTTCGAGCAGGTTTGCGGTGGAGGTGCGGTTGACGAAGATGATGGTGGGTTTTTTGAGGTTTTGCTCGGTGAGGAGGAGGATGTGGAGGTATTTTTCCTTGTGTACGACGTTGACGAGACAGTAGGTTTGGTGGAGGGTGTCTGGGATGGCGAGGGTGTCTAGGTCGANCCTAGTGGGGCTGTTTAGTATCTTGATGCTTTTCGAGGTTTGGGGGGATTAAGAGGTGGGAAAAATCGAAAATAAACTTACCTCACACACGGCCACGGGAGGTTTGCCCTTGGGTCTAGGTCTATCTTGCAGTGCTCTGACTTCTGCCGTGACAGTCGCGGTAAACAGACAAGTCTGCCTCTTGCCACTCTCAGGCAACACCTCCATGCAAACCCCCAAATCGGGCAACATACTCCCCTTGCCAGCCGCCAACAATCTATCCGCCTCATCCAGCACCACAAACTTGACCCGCCTCAATCCAGCAACACTCTCTTCCCCACTGCTATTGATATGATCCGCAAGCCTTCCCGGTGTAGCGATAACCACATGCGGCCTCCTCGCCAACTCAATAGCCTGAGCCCTCATATCCGCCCCTCCAGTCACCAAGCAAACTTTAAGATTCTGCACCGCACCAATAGCCTTGAACTGTTCGAAAATCTGCAATGCCAGTTCGCGGGTGGGCGTGAGCACGAGACCGAAAATCCCAAAGGGGTCTTTGGCCCATTGTTGCAGGATGGGCACTGCAAAGGCAACGGTTTTTCCCGATCCCGTTCTGCTGCCACCGATACAGTCGCGTCCGGAGAGGATCTCGGGGATTGCTGCCGATTGAATGCGTGTGGGGTTTTTGATGGCCATGTTGGCGAGTGAAGACACCAACCAAGGCGAAACATTCAGATCCGCAAACGTGGACTTTTCATTTCCTTTTGAGCTGTTGTAATGATGGTTTCTGTGGGTGTGGGGTTTGTGGTTGTGGAAGATGTCGTTGTTGGTTTGGCCTTGATGCGGGAGATGGATGGTTGGATGCGAGATGCAGTGGCCATGGGAGGAGGAGCAACTTTTTGCTGTTGTTGAGTCTCCAGTTCCGAGTCCGAGTCTGCTGATCCGGTGGGTGAGAGTCTACGGCGCTTTCTGGATCCGTTCTGGTTTGATTGTTTGCGCTCGCTGTGGATGCTGCTTGTGGCCGAGTCGCTGGAGTTGCCAGAGTCCGAGCTGGCAATGGATGCTGCCATGTTTGATTATTTATCGGTTGTCCTCTTTCGCTGGTTCCAGTACAGAGGTCCTTAAAGGTGCTATAGCGAGCTTTTTGTGATGTTGTGCTGTTGTTGTTGGCGATAAACTATTTTTCGCCTTGATGGTCCGAAAATTTCGATATCACGTGACTTTAGTATAATTTATATTCGACCAAGGCAACAAACACCTCAGCTTTAACGATGTTTTCAGCATGTCTTTAGGCTTGTGTTTGTATGCTCGTATATACAGAATGTTGTGTCATAAATTCAGATCTTTTGTTTGCCAAGGCTTGACTTAAGCAGTGGTCTGCTCCTGTTCCTGCTTGGCCTCGTCAAAGTAGTTGGGAACCATCTCCTGTTCGCGGTATCCACCTCTGGTAAAACTCTTCATGGGAGTGAGACCGTACTTTGCGAACATGGCCTTGTCCTCGTCCCAGCCGTTGCACTCGGTGGTCAACATCTTCTCACCAGTGAAAATGGCGTTGGCACCAGCGTTGAAGCACAAGATTTGCTCTGCCTCGCTCATGGTGGTGCGGCCAGCGGCAATTCTGATAATGGTGGCAGGCATGACAATTCTTGCGGTGGCGATGGTGCGGAGGATGGCGTCGAAGCTGATGCGTTTGCGGCTGGGGTCGTCACCAAGCGGCGTACCCTTGATGGGGACCAGAGCATTGACAGGGAAGGATTCAGGGTGGGCAGGCATGTTAGAGACGGTGTAAAGCAGACCAACGTGGTCCTCGGGCTTCTCGCCCAGACCAAGGATACCGCCGGAGCAGACATTGATGCCAGCCTTGCGCACGTTGGACAGAGTCTCCAAGCGCTCGTCATAGGATCTGGTGGTGATGACGGTGGGGTAATGCTCGCGCGAGGTGTCGACGTTGTGGTTGTACGCAGTCAATCCTGCCGACTTGAGCTCCTCGGCCTGGTTCTGGTCAATCATGCCCAGTGTGACGCAGACCTCCATGTCCATGGCGCGCACGCCCTCGACCATGGCCTTGACGTTCTTCAAGCTAGTCTTTCTTCCTCTCATGTCACGCCAAGCGGCACCCATGCAGAAGCGTGTGCTTCCGTTCTGCTTTGCGATGCGGGCTTTCTCGAGCACGTCGTCGACGGGCGACATTTTGGTTGCCTTGAGGCCTGNTGCATTGCAATCAGCTTGTTTTTCTGGCGAATTTGGACAGAATATAGGTAGCATACCAGTGTTGTAGCGGGAAGACTGGGCGCAGTACGAGCAGTCCTCCGAGCAGCCACCAGTCTTGATGTTCATAAGCGTGCACATCTGAATAGACGAAGGAGAGTGGAATCGGCGGTGAAGAACACCNNCTGTGAGCTTGTCAACCATACGCATCTCACATACATATTCAGCACGTGTGCATACCGATTGATGTGCCAACTCCATCAAGGGAGTCTTGTAGATCTCACGAATCTCATCCTTGGACCAGTCGTGTCTAGGGCCAGTCTGTCTCATGGCTTCTTGAAGCACGTTTCCGGTTCTGGGCAGAGGGCTTGTAGCTGCTGCCATGGCCATGCGGTCGTCCACGACTGTGCTGAAAGGTCGGCCATTGGTGAGCTGTCTCAGCGACCGTACTGCTTGTCGGGTAGACATTGTGGATGTGATGGCGAGTGCGAGGAAGAAGAAGAAGGATTGAAGAGACCAACAGAACCACACGCGCGCTGTTCAACAGAGACGGCAGAGAGCTTGTGACTGATGAGTCGAACAAAGATGGAAAGGTCAACTGTTTCTCCGTGCTCGCACCCCTCGGTATTCGGGGTTCGTTGGTGGGGAGCTCAATCGCGGGCCGGCCGTCAATTTACCGTCTCTGTCGCCGTGATTGGCTGCTTCTTCGGACAAGCTTCGGAGACAGGCGCTAGAGCAGATCTGCCATAGACCTGCAGCGAAGATGTTCTGTCCCCTCAATTCAACCAAATTTCGGTCGGCCTTGACTGCTTGGACGAGACCATGGGGCTGAGGAAGCCCATATCAATATTTCGCAGTGTGAGATAAGGGCTATTTTAGGCCCCTTTCTCAGCTGATAAATGTGGTTGTAGCACGACTCTCCTTGCAGTGGTTCTGGCTCAATAGTTCACAAAGCATGTCTCCTTGCTCGTATTCTTGGGTGTTTGTTTGCAGCTCTTCATTCGAGACCGGCTCCATGCATCCATCAGCATACGCGTGAACCGCTGGGCTTTGCTAGCAGGAAGATGGCTTTGTTCGGATGTGCCGAAATAGATTTCGTGCGACATGGTCATGCCGACCGAGGTCTGCAAGTACAAGTATCATCATTGCTTTGTTCAATTGAACTGGTGAAGGGAATATATGAGAAGGTCTCACTAACCAAGAATTAGTGCTCGTTTTATGGCGGTTGTCAATATTGATGCACATGTGTTGAGAACAAGTACAACCGTAGCCTACCACTTTATGCAGCGCACTATGCAAGACCGCCCATCTTGCTGCGCGACCCTGTGCTCCCGTTACCCTGTACAACTAGTGTCATCACAGCTGCTGTCCACATGGCCGTTGAGTGGACGTTGCTACGACCGTTGCGAAGCAACATCCACAGTCTGAGGCTGCCAGCAACGGCTGTTGTAGTTGGATCTTATCACGGGTTTCAGGAACTACATGATACGAGATAGTCGGTGCTGGACAGCTTGTAGGAGACGCATGGCATAAGACGTGAATCTCTCGCCGTCAAGTTTGCGTACGTTACTACAAATAATCACTGGCCCGAATCCACGGATGTGTGCGTTGGCAGAGGAGTGCTAGCATGATCTGCAGGCTCGAGGTCGGGGCCAGTCTCGATTTTGGCCAGAGCAAACAGATCCGAGCCCAAACAAAGACCCGAAAATCACCACCAATCTTCGCGTAATCGCAAAGTGATGATAAATATGGTAAACGCAAGACTCCAACGCGGAGGGAGTCACACCACCTTGTGTCTGGAGTTCAAAAAGCTGTGAGAGTCTTTTTTCTACGCACGTATCAGCTGCTTGCAAGAGACACGATGTTCACGTAATCATCGAAAGTGCTCAGATGGACCAGATTTCCCATCACAGACTATTAATCGGACCTGAGCGAGTCTCCACATAGTGTATGCACATCAATATTGAAGCTGAAAGCTGTGGTGACATGGTATACCATGTTTATAAGCTTTCCAGCGAAGAATGATTGACGTGAGCCACAAACCGGACACCCCCTGAGTCTCGGAGAATTGAATGATGCCACGGAGCACGACGCCATGGCTGAGACATCTGAGACGCGAGCCGTATCCAGTGAGCTGGTTTGAACGTTGTTGCCGAACAATGGACAACGGAGAAGATGTTTGAATTGTGGATAGGCAGGCACTCTCACACAGGTCGAGGTCGCAGAGCCAGACATACCGTCGTATTATCTCAGGAGCTCGACCTCAGGTGTTCTCCATACAAGAGGGAAGGAGGTCGTTGGAGAAGGGCGCAACTCAAACGCCGACCCCAGTGAGAAACGCAATTCTGGTAGCAGCTCCCACGTAGACGAAACCCAAATTTCCCCAGTACATTGAATTCCAATCCCAGAATTGCCAATAGACGTCAAATCCTACATCCTTGACGCTGTAGATGTGGCCAAAGTCGGCAAGCAAAAGGCCGAAGAGAAACACTCTCCAGACACGAAGGTTGGTGGTAGAGCGTAAGACAAGGGCCTCGTTTAGTGCAAATACAGCGTACATATTTGCGAGTTGACTCAGAACGATGCTTTCGCGGGCGGATGGACCGAGAGAAACGGCCGAAGCCGAGGTGTAGGTCATGTCGAGGTAGTCATGTTGCTGAAACCAAGCGTAGTAGGCACCGACAGCTGTAGCAACAGGTTCAATGTAGAGAAAGAACAGGCGGTACCACAGGGCGATGGTGGCAGCGTTGGCAGGAGGCATTGTTTGTGATTGCGATGCGAGCAGCAGGAAATAATGAAGTACCCGTGCGTGCAAGAGGTTGCGGAAGACAAGAAAAAAGCAGGATGCAGGGTTTCGGATGGCGGTAAGCCAAGAGATGGAATGACGACTGGATTGGTAGAGTGCAGAATGGGAATGCCTCGGAACGGCTACCAACCAAATAGGCGCACAAGCGGGCGGTCAACGGGGGCGCTGAATGATGGAGACAAGCAGCAAGAAACAACAGCGACGACAACAGCAACAAGAGTGATTCGTGAAGCGGCACAAGCTCACGACGGTGCAGAGCGTGACGGAGGTCAGGCGGGAGGCCTCGGGAGGCGGTCGGTGAGGAGGTTAGGAACAAAGTGCGAGACAAGCAGAGTAAGATTTCACTTTGAAAATGATGACGGAAGTCCAAGTCCAATAACGCGATCGGGATGTCTCAGAAGTAGATAGAGTGTCTCGCTATGCAAAACAAGGCAAAGCGCCGGGCGACCAGGACGGCCTGACGGTGACTAGCAGCGTGTAGGGCCAGTCCGGCGGGCCAGAAGAGGGAGAAAAAACAGGGAGGTCTTGGGTTGCAGCGTGAGCATGGGAGATCGCAGGAGTCGACCGCGGGATTTGACTTTGCTACTGTTTGACACCAAGACTCTTTTCGCTCAACGGCAAGAAACGTAACGCGCGCGCTGTTTCCTGCTGGCTGCGCTGTTGCTTCCCTTCCTCCTTCATTCCAAACCAATCGCCCCCGTTTCGCTGTCGCTTGTCGCTTGTCCGGTGCCAGTTTTATACCATAAAAACACTTCGGCCGCCGTGACTGGGGTCCCCCGCCTAGACACTCGATCCATCATAACCGTTTCCCTTCCTTCCCTTTCGCGCCCTTTAACTCTCCTTTCCGCCTCGCCCTCTTCTTCTTCCACGTCCGACTTTTCAACAACACCACCACATCCGCTATCCAACCTGCTCCACTCCTTTTTTCTACCATCAAAACATCCTTCGCTCTGAAACTAATAGTTTCCAACTCGGCCGTATTGCTCTACTCCACTGTCTCAGCTGTAACACGGATCCACTTTCTCTCACTCCGACTCGATTGAGTCCCTCAAAAACTCTGTTTCCCTCGCCAAGGGGCTCGCATTAAGCCACCATGTCAGACTATGATCTAACTCACGTCCTCGACACTCACCACAAATACTACTCTTCCTCCCAAGGCTCGAGTGGTGCCGAGTCCTCTTCATCCTCGACCTTCTCCTCGTCATCAACCCGACCGCACACCTCTCAAGTATCTTCCACCACCACTCTTGCCGCAACCATCCAGCACATCTCGCGTCCATCAACACAACCCATTCCCATCCCTCAGCAATATCAATCCTACGACCAGAGCCTCGAGGCCGAACAAAGACGGGAAGCTGAGATGTTCCGTGAAGTCGAGTGGAGGTCGCCCAAGCTGGAGCAGAACGAGAGAGATATGTCTTTGAAGCGTGCTTCCTCGGCAGACCCCAGCCAAGGCACAAACACAAAGACCAAGCAGCAGAAGGAGAACGGCATCTTCAGAAAGACGTCGCAAAAGTACAGAGGCTTCCGTGCACACCTGCATGGAAGGACCCGACGCAACTCTGGCGATCTCATGGAGGGAGTCGAAGGTTCTGCTTCTGCATCCATCCCTGAACACTCTGCCTCTTCTGGTCCTTACCACAAAGGCATTCAGCGCTGCCTCAACCCTACCAATCGTTTACTCCAGTCATTGAAGGCTCCCAGACACGACACACCGCAACCTGCCAACGCTCCCTCGCCAACTCTTCAATCCTCCTCGACCATGCCCACCCTTCACTACAACCCCGATCAACACTTCATGCATCGCTATGTCTCCGAGGTGCATGCCGGTGAAGCTGCTCGTCGTGCTGCTTCGGCCACCAACGCTGCCAGCTATGCTTCCAACTCTCGCACATTCGTTCCTCACTACCAAGCACAAAGAGATCTTCATCGTAGCCGCATCGGTAGCATTCCTGGAGCTAGCGACAGCGGTGCCGATCTGGCGTCCAACGCTGACTTGGACGTTGAAATGGCTGATATTGCAGAAATCGTGGCCCCCACCAATAAATGCTCCGATCCCGTCGAAGCCCTCCCTACCGAGATTGTCACTCTGATCCTCTCCCATCTCGACCCCGAAAGTCTCAAGGCCGCCCAACGAGTTGCCAAGAGCTGGTCTCGCATCGCCAAGGATCCTCTTATCTGGCGTGCCCAATACCTGCAACAATACGAGAAGCAGACTTATGTGTCTCCGGCACCTATTCAGATTGGCGGTATCGGCACAGGTCTCCCCAACCAGCCTATGCAGCATTGGGAGTTGATGCACGACGCCAGAAGACGCATCGATAAGAACTGGACTCGCGGCGACCAAGGCGGCAAGGGTATTTACTTGGCTGGCCACACCGATTCCGTCTACTGCGTACAGTTCGACGAGCANAAAATCATTACTGGATCCCGCGACCGAACCATTCGTGTTTGGGACATCAACACCTACAAGTGTCTCAAGGTCATCGGCGGACCTAGCGTCCGTCCCTCTCCCGGTCCCAAGGTCCTGCGTACTGTGGAATACCCCAAGTTCCATCATGCCGAGTCATCTGTTAATGGCACTGCCTACGGCAACAGTATCTACCATGTTCCCTCCGACTTCCACAGCGCCAGTATTCTTTGCTTGCAGTACGACCACGAG